CCAAACCTCCACCAACTCAGCCATCTCAAGCCCTCATGTTCCCAACTCCCATCCCCTCCCCTCTAGGAAAAAAAATCCTGAGAGAGATAACCCAGAGGCAGAAAGACAAACACTGTATGTACTCACTTGTAAGTTGATACTAGATGTAAAGCAAAGGATAACCAGGCTACAACCCACAACCCCAGAGAAGATAGATAAAAAGGACATGGAGGGCCCCAGGAAAGGGAAATAGTTAAGATTTCCTGGCTAGTGACTTCTTTGTTAATAGTCACTTTCTCTCAGTACTGTAATTTGTTAGCCTGCTGCTTTCTAGTCTCTGTGTATTTTGATGAGGAAACAACTGCAAGACTTACCGTGGATCCTGGTATATGAGTCATTTTCTCATGCTGATTTTAAGATTTTTCTCCTTCACCTTTGGTTTCAAACAGTTCTGTTACATTATAAGTTTCTTTAATGTGTTTCAACTTGGAGGTTGTTAAGCTTATCAAATATGAAAACTAATTTTAATTTTATCAGATTTGAAAACAAATGCTTTTCTTCCAATTTAGAAGATTCAGATACACTCTCTTTTTTCTTTTTGTTTGGGTGTTTGTTTGTTTGTTTTGTTTTTCAAGACAGGGTTTTTCTGGGCCACCCTGGCTGCTCTGAAACTTGCTCTGTAGACCAGGCTGGCTTCAAACTCAGAGAGTTGGGATCAAAGGCGTGTGTCACCACCACCTGGCTCAGTCTCTTTTCTTTAATTCTCCGGAATCATTTCCTCTTGTGTTCTCAAGGATACCCATTACATTTGATAATGTCCTACACACCTCAAACGATCTGGACTCTTTTCTCCATCTTTCATTTTTCATTTCTTTAAAACTGGGTTATCTCACTTGACCTATCTTCACATCCACTGAATATTTCTTCTTCCACTGTGCTTCTCAAACATGCTGTTGAGCCTGTATTGAATTTTGGAACTCCAGAGTTCCTAGTTGGCTTTTTAAATCAATCCCATTCCTTCATCGGCCCTCTGTTTTTCATAAAGTGCTATTTTTTCTTTTCCTTTAACTCTCTCCAAGCAAAAGTTTCTGAGCTCCTTGGAGAAGGGGACTTAGGAAAAGACAATAGCTGATGTAAAATGTGATCTTGTAAACCTAGCGTCTGGACTTCCTAGAAAAGAACCTACTTTGCTTCTTGATCCATGGATGACCATGCTCTCTTTTCCTTGTACATCTTAGTTTTTGTTGAAAAGTCATTTAAATAACACTGTGACAATTCTTAAAATCCCATTCTTGTGCTTCCATGATTTTTATTGTTGTCACTGTCTCTGGTTGCTTCTTGTTTATGTAGTGATTGTGTAGTTCCTGGTAGTCACCAACATGTCCATATTCTGATTCTGGAAACTGTTACTATGGGAAGTCATATATATTAAAAGGAAATTAAATTGGAAGATCAAATTAGGATTACTAATCAGCTTTATTTTAAGTAGAGGGGATGTATCCCTGGTTATTTGGAAGGAGCCAATGTAATTATGAGGATCATTAAAGGTAGAAGAATTATACATAATCTCACACTGGTATAACCAGATTCAATGAGAGATTAAAAAAAAAAAAGTCACAACCAAGGAATGCAAATGGACTCTAGAATTCGAAATAGCCAAGGAAAAAGCTTCTCCCGCCCTACTTCCCCAGAGAGGAGTTCAGCTGTGTTGGCATGTTGGTTTGCACCCAAGGAGGCTGTGTTGAACTTCTGACCTGCAGTTCCACATTGCCATAAGCTAGCATGCTTACCATGATTAACTGTAGAAACAACAGAAAGTAATTTAGTGGCCTCTCTGAACAAATCAAATAAAGTCTGTTTATAATACCCCCGAGAGGAGAAGCTTGCACTAGAACTAGAATTCTAAGTCTAGTTAAATACGACAAATCCTGCAAATATTTCCCTGGACAAATGATAGCAGCTGTCTTGGAATGATAGGGTTTAATTTTTGTATTATTTTATTTTATGTGTTTGGGTGTTTTGCCTACATGTATGTCTGCATACCGCATGCATGCCTGGTGTCTGCAGAGCCAGAACAGCCAGAAAAGGTTCAGTTCTCTAGAACTGAAGTTACAGAGGGTTGTGAGCCAACATGTGTGTGCTGGGAATGGAACCCAGCATCCTTTGGAAGAGCAGTCAGTGCTCTTAGCTGGAGCATCTGTCCAGCTCCCACATGGAGTTTTTAATTAGCTTCAAATTTAGTCTGCCCACCTTGGTATCTGCCCTAATATTTTCACTGAGAATTTGGAGTGTTTGTGTTTGGATTCTGATTTTAATTTTCTAGCCACACACCCCCCATTTTATGTGTTCACGTGTTTTCCTTGGAGGTGAAGAAAGATCACTGGAGTCCTCTGCACCTGGAAGTAGGGGTGGTTGTGGACCACATTGTGAGTGATGGGACTCAAACCCTGGTTTGTCACTCTGCAAGAAAAAAAAGTGTTAACTGTTGAACCATCTCTCCAGCCCAGACTAACTGTTTTTAAGTTTGGATGAGATGTGGTGAGTGGTGAGAATTGGGTGAGTTAAAAATGTCACAAGTTCACTCTTTTTAATGAGAGTGGCCTTGTTTGTTTTTCTTGATTAAACCCTTTGCTTTTGAGTGATTACACAACTTTGGTTAATTTTTTGAATACTGGAATGGCTTATTTTTGGTAACTTTTCCAGTGTTATTATTTCTCTAATTGAGGAATGGGGTTTCCAAGACCATCCTCTGTCATTCTTGCTAGAATTCAATTTTTTTCTCTCCTTAAGCTCTCTATTGATGTGTGAATCAGCCAGGCCACTCCACAGCCCTGGTGCTTCTGACTCCCACCATAGAGTTTTATTGTGGCAGCTGTGACTGTCAAAGCCATCAACAGCACTTCAGTCCAGAAGGCATTAAGCAAGTGCTTTAGTGAGTGTGGTAAGGAATGTGCCATGCACTGGCTCTTATTCTCTTCACAGTTGGAAAAGCCAGGTAGCTGTGGTAGCCATGTTTAGAGCTTTGTTCATTCTTAACCACTGCGTTGGTAATTAGAACTCAGTCAACAAAACAGGAAGAACCACAGAGCTAACCAGGAAGGGTTAATACACTAAAGTACATGAATGCAAAAGGATCATGGGAGTGAAGAGAGTTCTAGGGCAAGTTTTGACCTCCAGAAAAACAGACATCTGCCTCACAAAGGACTGTATTTATTGTCAGACTTTATTGTCAACTTATCAGAACAGAATCTTACTGTCTCTCCAATTTTTGTTTGTCTTTGGTGGTAGTCTCTGCCTTTTGCTTTATTGTGATAAATTAAGTAAACTATGAGGCTTTATTCCCAGCCTCTTAGCTTACTGTATTGGTCTTTTCCTGGGTTTTGAGTTGAAAGCTTAGAACATTAATGATTTTTGTTTTATATACTTATTTCTCATATATTATTGTCTAGGCATAGCTCTATCCTGGTTTTTATGTTAATGCTTTTTGAGAGGTCTGTGTGTGTGTGTGCGTGTTGTGTGCTGTATTTACCTGGAATAAATTAAAAAGTACTTTTAACTGAAAATAAATAATTTAAAAACCTAATTTTTAAAAATAAAAATATTAAAGCTGGGCAGTAGTGGTGCACACCTTTAATCACAGCCCTTAGGAGGCAGAGGCAGGTAGATTTTCTGAGTTCAAGGCCAGCATGATCTGCAGAGTGAGTTCCTGGGCTACATCCTGTCTTGAATAACAAAAGCAACAACAATTTTTTTAAATTAATTATAAAAATTTACTTCAAGTTTTCAATCTTGATTTATTTCTTTGTTGGGTTTTACCTCCAACATTGTATTCTAATCTATAAAACACATTATTTCTGCAAACTTTGAATGCCAATTTATATGTACAGTTTCATCTCTGAGTAAGAAGAGATCTTAAGATTCTCACCTTGCACTCTTTCCATACCCCTTGAGTTATTACTGAGATATTATGCTGATGTTCCAAGTTGTTTTTTTTGTGAATTCATGGTTCCCATAAATACAAAATAACAACAGTAGCTTAAATAGTGACTGTCTAAAGTTGGAAGGGTTTTTTTTTCACTTTTAATTCATACAAAAAGAAAAACCTTTTATTACCACACAAAATTATTCTAATTTTTACAAAAAAATGGGCTAGGAAAGTCTTGCACAAAATGAATTGAGTATTTTCAGGCATATTTATTCTTTCTTTGGAAGAGTTCATATGGGTAAATTTCCTAATTACAAAAGTGATTCATCCTTAGTTCATTCAGGTGAACTGAATTTAAAAATTTTACATTCAACTTTGTTTCTTTTTCTTTTATTTTTGGAATTATAATTACATAATTTCTCCCTTCCCTCTCCTCCCTCAAAACCTTTCCATATAACCCATTTATTCTCTTTCAAATTCATGCTCTGTTTTTTTCATTAATTGTTGTTACATGCATGTGTGTATATGCATAAATAGTTCTAAATATAACCTTCTCGGTCTGAATAATGTTGCTTGTATGTATGTTTTTCAGGGATGACGATTTAGTACTGGATAACCAATTGGTGTGCTCTTCCCTGGAGACTATATCCCTACTCTTAGTAATTCTTAGTTACTTGTGGTTCTTTGTGTAGAGCTGAAGGCTTGAGGCTTTCCCCTGTTCACTTTGGTGTGTCTACTGTTGGTGTCCCTGTTCATCTTATGTGTAGGCAGTCATGTTGGTGAGACTTTATGGATATAGCTTCTGACATTCCTAGAAGACATAACCTCACAGAACTTACTAGGCCTCTCAATTTTTCTTTTACTACAGTAATGATTTATAACATATTTGCCTGCCTGATCACATAGAAAGAGATGACCCAGAAAATCTATAAAATCTTTTATCTGTTTTTCAATTTTCTTTAATAGTATACTTTACTGTTGTTCCAAATGGCAATGACTACGTGAGGAAGAGAGAAACATATCATTTACACCTAGGAAACAATTTCAGTTTACATAATATATTTATGTGAGCTCATTGTATGCTTGGGCCTTGCAGAACCTCCCAGCCTGGAAGATTCAGGGAAGATGCTGAATGAGACCGTGGTGGTGAATAACCCCATTCAACTGGAGTGTAGAGCAACAGGCAATCCTCTTCCTGGTACATTTACTTTGCAACTTTGCAATTGATGAATGCTTAAGATTTCTGAGAACAGCAAAATTGGTATGGGCATAATGTAATGAAGGAAAGTGATAGAGTACATTTCAAGTGGTAATATCATTAGGGAGATGATATTTTTAAATTCTCAATAGCCTTTAATTGCATGAAAGAATCTTTCTAATTGATGCAGAAACATGTGAATTCCTTGATTATCCTGTCTGCATTGTGGTCACAAAACTTACCATTGTATTTTATACTATGCCTTTTAAAAAAGATATTGTAAAGTTTAAAAGGAATATTAATGCAGTTGGATGAACTAATGACTTAATCATAGTCATTCTGGTGACCCTGTCACTTTTTTTCTGCATCTCCCTCTCAATGGTACACTATTTTTGTGAACTGATGACAATGTAAAAACATTGGATCCAATATTGTACATGATAGATGTTTTTTTATTTGACATGTTAAAATTTTTATAGGAAATTCACAATTAAATAAATAGAATAGGCTAAAAAATTACCACCAAGTAATATTGACATATTAGAAACAATACAGAAAATACCTTTCGTTGGTTCAATTCCTAGACTGATTGATTGGACTTGGTAGTTTTCTTAGGATTTTCTTGTCTTAAAAATCAACCCTTAAAACTCATCAACCATGAAGACATACTTAAGCCAATTGAACTCAAACAAAATGTATAAAAATAAAGCATTTCTAGTTAGATACATCTTAACATATTTATTTCAGATCCAACTTAGTATATTGAATTTTGAATGAAAAACTTTTACTTTTCCCGTTTCCCCTTCAGTCATTACATGGTACAAAGACAACCACCCACTCTCAGGTTCCACAAGTGTAGTCTTCCTGAACAGAGGGCAGATCCTTGATATTGAAAGAACACAGATCTCAGACGCTGGCATCTATAAGTGTGTAGCCATAAACTCTGCCGGAGCTACAGAATTGTTTTACAGTCTACAAGTTCATGGTAAGTGCTGCATCTCTCAGATTCATCCTGGCTTAAGAACATGTGCATAATGGCTATATGCTCCTATAAAATTCTGTTGTGATCATTAACAGAAGTATGTTGTTGATATCTTTACATAATGACCCAGATAAACTTTCTCATTCCCGACAACCAATAAAATGCCCAATTTTCACATGCTGTTGAACTTCAACTTCAGATTATTTGTTGAAATACACCATCTTAATTAATAACCTAACACTCATGGGTATTAAAGAACTCTTTCTAAGAAATTGTTTCCAGGAAAACTTTTTAAGAGGCATTGATAATTAGAATACAGCAATGAATGTAATAGAGAAAGGTATGTACACACACACACACACACACACACACACACACACACACATATACCTTCTGGGAATCATCTCAATAACTAAGAATTCAATTAGGGCCAGTGAGATAACTCAACAGATAAAACCAATCCCCTGAATTTGGGTGAAAAAGCCTGATGGGATAGCATCCATTTATTATCTCAGCACTTCTGTACCAAGATAGGGGTTGGAGATAGGATAGCTTTTAAGCTCAAGGGCCACCTAGCATGGAGTATACAGCCTGGCAGAAACAAGAGAGACTGTATCTCAACAAGGTAGAAGGAGAGAACAGAACTTCCCAGATTTGTGCTATGGCATGTTTCTCTCTCTCTCTCTCTCTCTCTCTCTCTCTCTCTCTCTCGCTCTCTCTCTCTCTCGCTCTCTCTCTCTCTCGCTCTCTCTCTCTCTCGCTCTCTCTCTCTCTCTCTCTCACACACACACACAAACACGAAATAATAATAATAATAATAATAATAATAATAATAATAATAATATTTTAAGTGAACTAAAAACTGACTTCTTATACCAGCTAACATCACTTTCCTACCCTGAGACATTGACACTTGCTCTGCATACCTCACAAGAATGCCGTGACTAGATCTCAGATGTGAGACACTTAGCCAAAACAAATAAGGAAAAAGTTTATCTGTAAAAAAAATTATCATGGAAATTATGTATGGTTTTCATTATCCTGGTGACGGCATACATCACTTTTTTTCCTTCTTTTCAGTGCCTCCTTCGATCTCAGGTAGCAGTTCCATGGTGGAGGTGGTGGTGAATAATCTAGCAAGGTTAGAATGTGAAGCTAGGGGCATCCCTGCCCCCAGTCTGACTTGGTTGAAAGATGGGAGCCCCGTCTCTAGCTTTGCTAATGGAATACAGGTATCTTCTTTTCTTTTCTTTTTCTTTTTTTTTTTTTTTTGATGACTAACATGTTCAACACAGGATAGCCAAAGTTATGAAGCTGTTGAAAAGATTCGGAGAACAAGAGTTAAAAAAATGTTATTTTCAAAGAGTGTGTGCACAAGGGGCCACAAATACCTGTCATAGACACAGACACAAATATATATGTGTATGTATAATATCTGGGAGTTCCCATCCCTCACAGGTAGGTGTTAAGCTTAACCCATTAGATAGCTGTTCTTTCTTGCCCATGCCTTTTCCTGGCGTATGGGATACTCATCAACAAAAACACACAGGAAATTTCTGCTAGGATTTTGTTTAAATGTCTGGAAATAATGAATCTGTGAGGCATATAAAGCATACATGCATCCATAAAAACATCAAAGAATGAAGTAGAGAATATCATAGTAAAGAGGTTATGAAAAATGAATTCTGATTCTCTGAAAACTTTAAAGGCAGTCCATTGACTCTGAGTTAAAAACACAGAAGCACCCTCAGCTTCAAGTTAGAGAGAAAAACATGTACACAGACATTCCTCGTGTAATTGTACTTTCATCTCATCAACCTTTGCAGATACTGCATCTTTTTTTTTAATTGAAGCTTTGTGCCAACTCTGTGTTGACTAAGTCTCTCAGCCCCTTTCCTTGTAATGCTTTTAAGCATTATTTATTTTATTTATTATATTATTTATTTTAAGCAATAAAATAGTTTTAAATTGATAAATACATATTTTGTTTTAGACTTAACGCTGTTGAACACAGTAGTCTACAGGCTCCTGTAAACAGCACTTTAATGCACACCAAGGAGCCACAATACTGTATGCCTTGTCTTATTACAATATTTTATTATTGCAATGATCTGAAGCAAAACTCAAAAAATCTCAAATATGTGCTTGTGTTGATATAAAGTTTAACTTATTTTGCCCAATACAGAATACAGCTCTGACATTCTTTTTTTTAAATTCAGTTGTTTGTAATTGATAATTGTTAAAGACATGAAGTTCATGTCAATATTAAAAAATTGCAGATGTGTGGGATAATATGACAGTGAGTGTGACTAATTTTTTGGTTAATACTGTTGTGATGTCTTAACTATTTTATCCAAGAAATCTTGGAAAATGACTTCTTTTTATTCCCTCTTCTTTTAGGAATGCTTTGTCATGCTCTCTTCTGTGAACATTTGTTTAAATGATAAAAAGAATACACCTACTACTCTTATGGCTGCATTGATTAACTGGCTTTGTCTTCATTGCTAGGTTCTCTCTGGGGGTCGCATCCTAGCGCTAACCAGTGCACAAATGAGTGACATGGGAAGATACACCTGTGTGGCAGTGAACGCTGCTGGGGAGAAACAAAGGGACATCGACCTCAGAGTATATGGTGAGACAAGCTAGCTGTTTGCTGAAATAGATGTTCAGGGAGATTGTTGACAAGAAGGAGAAATTGATAAAATGATGATTTTGCTAAATTAGTTCAAATCAAATTCTATTCTGCTTTATGTTTGAGTTTGGTTCATTTTAATCCTTTTACCTTCCAAGATATTGGGGCTGGGAAAATGATTGGTGCATATAAGGTGCATGTGTGGACATGAGAAGTTGAGCTTAACTTTCTAATATATGTAAAAAGCTGCCTGGTTTTATGTGCTGATAGCCCAAGTGTTGGGGACTAGAAACAGCCAGCTAGTTCCCAGGAACTCATTGGCCAGCTAGGCTAGCCAACCAGAGAGCTCAGGTTCGATGGGAGACATTATCTCCTGGGAGTTAGTAGAGAGTGATACAGTTACCTCATGTTCTGCTCTGGCTTCTATGCTCATATACATATACCCATACATATACAGCTTATATACATATATCCCAGACACATATAACAACACACACAGTTTATATACATATACCCCAGACACATATAACAGCACAAGGCACAAACTCACAGAAATAAAATTTTAATTTGAATGTATATATCAGTGTAGGATGTTCTATGAAGCATTCACAAGACCATGACTACAGCTAGGGGCTCTACAATTTGGAAGACATAATTTAATTATAGTAAATGTCTGTTGAAAAAGCTCTTTTAATGTATTCTGCTTAAAACCATGCTTCATTGCTTTTAATGATATTTACAAGAGACCTATTTTATTATCAGCACAATATCTTTATCTTAGAGTGATGAGATGTTTGAGAAATAGTTAAGCTAGACATGAATTCAGCTAAAACTCATTTTCCCTACTCACACTGAAAATTAGGTGATCTTGAAGCAGGTAGTATTTGATTCCATCTCAAAGTAAGGCCCCCACACCAGAATAATGCTGGGGCTTCACTGACCTCAATTCAGGGGTGGTATTTGTCATTCTACATCTTGGCATACCTTGATGTCTAAAACAGTCATAAGGAAAATGTGCCATCTTAAAATTCTACAGAGAACTTAAGACAAACATACATAGTTATGATAATTTTTATCCAACAAGGCCAAACTTAATTCAAAATTTGATCAAGCTGTAGAACTGGCTATTCTTCTATGTAGATTCCTGTGCCAAAGCTTATGGATGTGTCTATTTTTCATGGGGTCTTACAGTGACATTAAATATGCCTATTTGCTGCTTGATAGCATTCTTGATTTTGAACAGACTGTCCATACATCACTACCCTAGTGTGTCACTTCTAAAAATTAATCCCATGATTTTCTGGTCCCCAGAGGCTGCCTTCAGCCCACTGTGTGTCAACACCTTGTATGATGCTTAGAGAGGAAGGTCAGTTCTTTGCGCAGATGCTACCCTAGCCTGCTCCATACACGTGTGAGGCACTTTCTCCTTTATAGTCCATTCACTCATGGTTTACTCAAGTCATGAGCCTAGAGATGACACACAGGTGCACCCCTTGTTTCCTCTTTCCCTCTGAAGCAGTCTGGGAGCAAAGAACTCTGATGGCTATAGACACAGAATGTTACTAGTTGGTCTACTACACTGAAGATCACTTTAACACACACTGCTGTATTGACCCTGAAACAGCAGCCTTTAGGCTGTAATACTATTCCTTATGACCACAATCTTATTTCTACCAAAGCATTTGGAAAACTCTTTAGGACCTCAGTGTATACAGATTAGCTTTTTTCTGGTGACCACAAAATCAAAACCAAACAAGAACCACAAGAAAAAAACTTTAAACAAAGTCTGAGTGGTTAAAGAATTTAGTGAGAGTTTGTCAAGAAATTCTCCCCATACTCTTTCAGAGTGACCCTTTCGTAGTGGTTCCAGTTTCATTTGTCATTTGCCTTTTCTGAATGTAAATGTATACAGGTCTGAATGAGTCCTTGGTGGAATATGGAGCCTACTCTTGACAAAGCTGCACCTACACCACTTGAGAAAAGTTATTTTCAATACTCAAGGGAAGGAAATTCTTTAAGCTTATGCCTGAACACATCTTAGTACCTGACAAGTCTGAGAGCCGGGGATTTTAGTTTTAATCCCACTGCTGAGTTTCAGCAGAACTCCTTCTTTTATGTAATTATGAAGGTGCTATATAGCTGGTCACTGATTTAGCATCTTCTCTATGGTGTCAGTCTCCACACACAGTCTTTCATGCCATAGAAAGTTGGTGTGGCACAGAAGAGAACCCTAGATGACAAGTCAGTAGACTCTCAGCTTTTCCACCAGCAGTAGTGCTTTTAAACCCTTACCCATCACCTACTTTTCATTTTCACACTGTGAAGTGGGGCGCTAGAAGGACAATCTTTGCATTCTCTTCCTGCTACTTTGAAAGATGCTGCCCTGATGACTATGAAACTTATTTCCTTTGCAAAAGATACAGTTAAATATTGAAATAATATTTTCTTTTAATTCATTATTGTTTCAAAAATACTTCATGGGTGATTTGTTGTTTTGAAAACCTCTAGGAGTACCATCTAGTTGAGTTGCAAAAGCTCTTTAAAATGAAAGATCAGTGAGTAGAATATCTGATTCATAGAAATGGATTAGTCAGTAATTTAACATTGATTTTGAATAAAATAAAACCAATAGCATTACAAGAATGGTTATGTTCTTCCATCTCAAAGGAAAAAGAAAACAAAAATATAGTTCCTCACCATATATCTGGTATCTTGATGATTAGTGGACATTAATAGTGTACTGGCCTGTTTTATTCTGAAAAAAACTTTTTCTTTCACTTAGTTCCACCAAATATTATGGGAGAAGAGCAGAATGTCTCTGTCCTCATCAGCCAAGCTGTGGAGTTAATTTGTCGAAGTGATGCTGTTCCCCCACCTACTCTGATGTGGTTAAAAGATGGCCGCCCTTTGCTGAAGAAACCAGGCCTCAGTATCTCTGGAAATGGAAGTGTACTAAAGGTAAGGCTGCAGATTCATCTCAAGTTCCCAAGCACATGGTTTCCATGTTACATCTGTTAAATTTGCTGATCTTTTACAAATGTCCTAGTGTCCTCTAATAAAATTCTAGAAACCATTTAATGGCGCTGCTGGTAGTTTTACATTTTATGCTAATACGATATAAATATTTAGTCATCCATTCATACTTTAGCCAGAAGCAATCTCAAAAACATACCTTCAGAAAACTGTTACAAAAATACTCTAAGGAGCAACCCATTTTAGGTGCTCTGGAGAAGGCTACAAAAATTAGGACTCACCTCATATTTTCAGTATCTTGTAGTCTTACATAAATCCATGAAAAGTTAAATGTGACTTCATCCCAGCTATGCAGAACTACTGACCATTTGGGTTGATGACAAAGTGGGTGGTACAGAGCATTTGGAGAAGGATAGCAAAAAGCAAGGCTCTGCTTGCATGGAAGAAAGTTAGGAGACAACCTACTTTTATAACTCAGAGAGGAACAAAAGTCCTGATTAAGGGAAGCAAGTAAGTTAGATTGGAGGAGATGGATTACTTCACAAAGTGAATGTCTGAAATAACATTGACAGAAGGTTCATCCAAGTGAAATCAAGCTGGCAGCGGAGTAAGCCCAAGGAATTGGGCTGAAGGAACCCAAGGGTCTGAATGTTCTTAACCCCAATGTGTGTTTGTAAAACTCTACTAATAGCCCAATTGAGAAAGTGAAAGAATAGCCAAGCAATATGTCCAGTTGCCAAAAGGCATAGATTGAATTAGAACACAGGGAGTGTAATTTTGAAATCTATGTTTCTACCTACATATGGCTTCCTGATTGAGGAGAATAGCTAAAAAGAATATTTAGGAGGGGAATGAATGCCCGCATGTGGGAAAGGTAGCAAGCTGAAGAGATTTCCCAACAAAGATGAAAGAACCAGGATGAACAAGACAGCATGGAGATGTATGCCAAAGAAAAGGGCTGGGAAGCTAGGGAATCATGGCATTGTAATAATAGAAATCGGAATGGAGAAAGGAAAAGGAAGATCAGACTCACTAACAAAACAAAGATGGAGAAGGCAACTGAGCTATATACACAACAAAGAGGGGAAAAAGAACAACTCACATTCAGAGGAAGAGCCCAATGTTCTAGAAAGTACCTGGCAAAATCTCAAAGCTTAGTTGTGGCTAAATGACAGAGGGAGGCATTTATATGAACATAAATTTCAGTGGGTGTAAGTGTTCCATTTTTTAGGTAATGGTGAATAAATCCTTAGGTCTGATCTCTGCCATGAACCCATGCCAGATACCCTGGGATGTACAAGTCCCATTGGCAGGAGTAGAGAGAAGACCCATACAATGAAACATTTAACAGAGCCCAACCCTAACTGGCTAGTTAATACTATCTTAAGAACATACCCAGCATTTTTCTCGCACATATTTGACTAAATCAAATAGTGGAATTTTAGCATTTTATTAGCTAACAGTATAATAGGCACTCCCATTAAATGTTCATCACTGCTTTCCAGTCTACCAACCTGCCACTCAAAAAGCTTTTTTGTGAGCTCTACAGTGTATTAGTTATCTTTTGCTTTCTATGAATACATAACTTGACAGAATAACCTAAGTAAAAAAGAATAAAAAAAAAAGATTTGGGCATATCATTCTGAAACATTTCAGCCTATCATGACATAGAGGACACAGTAAATGGCACTGAATTACATAACAAAGGTTGTGAAAAATGAGAGAGAAATTGAGCCACCTGGGGCCAGGTATAGCCTTTAAGGACACATTTAGAACAAACTGCTTTATCCTGAGTCACAGAAACATATCCTGACAAAGATTATACAACCATACACCCTGGCACTGAGGGCTGGTCCGGGGAACTGATGAAAACACATTCAGAAAAGGAGCTTGACCTCAAAAAGCTCATGTTGGTCTATTTAGTCTAACTTCAGGAGCCCACCGATCTTAAATTCTTACACTGTTCACAATCTGAATCCAAAGCGTCTTCTGGAGAGAATATAATCTCTTATCTGAGAGCCTTCCATCAGTTTTTTTTAAGTGACATACTTCCAATTTCTGGTGAGGAATAAACAGTCTAATTCTAAAAGAGAAGAATGGAGGTATAATAAGAAAATATGGAACAAAATAAGAATAAAATTCAGGAGAGAGAAACATTAACTCCTCTAGCTCTATGCCAAACATCTGGGATACATGGTTTCATGACATGAGCTCCAGCAGGCTTGGGAAACCCCACCCTTGTGATCTAGTCATTTGCAGTCTATCCATTGGGTTAGATACATTCATTTCCTGCACGTTTCCTCCGAATATGCTCTTGGCATATCCAAAAACCTGTATCCATTGTAACACCAACTTCAATCTCGTAGCTTCATGCAACACCCTGGAAGGAGCCTTCCACAGGAAATCTAAGCTTGCTAAACATTGCCTGATCTCTCAGTCTTGTCTCAAAAACTTTCGTGCAAGCTTTTTTGACTCTGTGACTCTTACCCTCTGTGTGCTTGCAAAACCAGAACCAAATGGACAATACCAAGTAGCCAGCCCTACCTTGGACCATGGCTGCAGCAGCCTTTAGTGTCTGGGTTGAGCCTGGGAAAGCACTTCCTTAGGCAACCCTGTGAGAGTAAAATACTGTCTTTTTGAAGGAAAATCTTTGAATGAGTTTATAGTTTTATAGGCTAAAGCCTTTGTTCTGTGGGATAATCCTTTTTGTACACTGTGAATCTGTATTATTCTCATTAATAAAGGCAGGAAATATAGGTAGCACAATCAAACTAAGGATGCCGGGATGAAGAAGTGTGGGGTCAGAGGAGATACCAGCAGACACAGAGGAAGGTGTGTAGAAAATTAGTTAACAAGCCATGGGCCTCATGGCAGAGCATAGATACGAAATAGGGATTAATTTAAAGTGTAAGAGTTAGCTAGTAACAAGCCTGACCTATCGGCTGAGCATTTACAATCAATATTAAGGTTCTGGGTGGTTATTTGAGAGTGGCCACTGGCACAGGAAAAACTCCACTTGCACCTTTGATTATAAATTCTTATAAATTTCTGAAATGAGTCCAAGGCACACTTTTTTTTGCAAATGTTTTTTTATTTGAATTAGAAACAAGATTGTTTTATGTGTCAATCCCAGTTCCCTCTCCCTCCCTGAAGGATGAGGCCTTCCATAGGGTGTCATCAGAATCTATTGTGTCCTTTGGGATAGGGCCTAGGCCCACCCCCATTTGTCTTGGCTCAGGGAGTATTCCTCTATGTGGAATGGGCTCCCAAAGTCCATACCTATGCTAGGGATAAATACTGAACAGGAGGTCCCATAGATTTCCGAGGTTTCCTTACTGAAACCCATGTTCCTGGGGTCTGGATCAGTCCCATGCTGGTATCCCAGCTATCAGTCTGGAGACCAAGAGCTCCCCAATGTTCAGGTCAGCTGTTTCTGTGGGTCTCACCAGCCTGGTCTGGACCTCTTTGCCCATCACTCATGCTTCTCTGCAACTGGATTCCAGTTCAGTTCAGTGTTTAGCTGTGGGTGCCTGCTTCTACTTCCTCCACCTGATGGATGAAGACTATAGGATGGGATATAAGTTAGTCATCAATCAGGGGAGGGCATTTAATGTAGCCTCTCCTCTGTTGCTTAGATTGTTACTTGGTGTCATCTTTGTAGATCTCCAGACATTTCCCTAGTGCCTGATTTCTCTGTAAACCTAAAATGTCTCCCTCTATTATGGTATCTCCATTCTTGTTTTCTTCTCCTCTTCCCCCGACTCAAACTTTCTGCTTCTTCATGTCCTCCTCACCCCTCCTCTTCTCCCCTTCTCATTCTCCTAGCTCTCTTCCCCCTCTTCCTGTGCTCCCAATTTGCTCAGGAGATCTTGTCCTTTTCCCCTTCTCCAGGGGACCACGTATGTCTCTCTTAGGGTCCTCCTTGTTTACTAGCTTCTCTGGCAGTGTGGATTGTAGGCTGGTAATCCTTTATTCTATGTCTAAAATCCACATATGGGTGAGTACATACCATGTTTGTCTTCTTGTGATTGGGTTACCTCGCTCAGAATGGTTTCTTCTAGTTCCATCCATTTGCCTGCAAATTTCAAGATTCCATTGTGGTTTTTTTCTGCTGAGTAGTACTCCATTGTGTAAATGTACCACATTTTCTCTATCCATTCTTCAGTTGAGGAGCATCTAGGCTGCTTCCAGTTTCTGGCTATTACAAATAGTGCTGCTATGAACATTGTTGAACAGATGTCCTTGTTGTATGAATGTCAAGGCACACTTTGTGTTACCCTAGTACAAATTACTTAGTTTCTTTAAATGTACTAACGTATTTAACAATTTTGTCCTCAGTTTTCCAAGGGATTGAGCTTCTTTTCTGGCTAGACTAGTGAGTGGTTCTCAACTTTCCTAATGCTGTGACCCTTTAATACAGGTCCTCATGCTGTGCTGACCCTTCAACCATAAAATTATTTTTGTTGCTACCATTATGACTCTTGATGTAAACACCTGTGTTTATGATGGTCTTAGGTGACCCCTGACTGCCAAAGGGCTGTCTGACCCTCAAAGGAGTTGCCACCCACAGGTTGAGAACTACTGGGCTAACCTAGACATTTTCATGTCTTTTTGGACCAGTTCTTGCTGCTAATTCTTACTGTAAACTGGACCAAAAACTGCCATAGATGGCAGTAAGATAGCTCAGTAGGTAAGCCACATGCCACCAAGCCTGACAATCTGAGTCCAGTCACTGAACCCACTTGGAGGAAGGAGAGAACCAGCACCACCCCTCTCAAGTTGTTCTCTTACCTAAACACACACACACACACACACACACACACACACACACACACACACACTATAAAGCAGCAAATAATATTCAAAAATTTAACTCATTCCACGGCCTGAGTACTCTGCTGTCTCATCATTTCTTTTGCAGAGTTAATTAGTCCATTACTTTCAAATTCAGCGTCACTCAAATTTGTCAAAATGTAAGCAAGATGTAAGCACATTATCTGCCAAACTGTAACACAAACAGCCTCTAATCCAGTTCCCAATAAAGCACTTGTTCCATCTTGACTGGCATAAGTGAAGTCTTTACTATCTGCAGTTCTCCTAGCATTCTCGTCTTCCAACATCCCACCAGACTCGTCCATAACACTTATATTTACAGTATTTAAGGTTTCTCTGCATACATGCCCAGTCTCTTCCAAATTTCTCATACAGTCCATTTCCAAAGGCTGAAGAGCCATTTGGTCACATTTAGTCATGACAAAGAGCCTACATAGGTGTTTGTGATTTACTGTGTTACAGTACTGTGTTACAGTACTGTGTTACAGTGACCACAATATCTCACAGAAACAGTTGACAGGATTAGAGGTATATTTCAACTTGTGGCTTCAGAGAGTCTCAGTCTTCCTCCTCATGGTGAGGAAGGAACTTTTGGCATGAAGATGTGCTAGAAGCTATTCATAGGAAGGTGCAGAAGCAGGGGTGGGGAGGACCCAGAGCTAGAGTTCAACCTTCCAAGCATGCTCCTAGGAACCTACCAGCTTTGTTCCCTCTGTGGGATCCATAGCTTCTCAAAATCATGTCATGCATTGGAAAGCAAGTATTCATGACATAAGCAAACCTGAGGAGGACCCATAAAATTCAAACTGTAATGTAAGGCCCATGCTTACTCATTTTATGTTCTAAAAATGAGTAGGTTTGCCATCAGTTGTGTGATTTTTGGCCACATAGAGCTAATAAATGAAGTTACATTTCCCTATCCTTAAAGTAAGAAGGTTTTGTTTTTAAGTACCTCTTCAGTACTCCACCTGACTCAGGTTAGTTGATTGACATGTCTATTGGCTGTGTACCCTGGCTAAGCCCAATACTCCCACCAATCACAGGAACTCTCATTGAACTTCCTCTTTGAGTCTTTAGAATCTCTTGGTAGCAAGCTTATATGTAAGTGACAATTCAGGGTGTTGTATCTCTCATCTTGTATTGCTTTTGTACCTTGTTTATTAATTTACTTTTATATGCCGTATATGCTTACTAAAATATGCACCAAGAAACTATGGGAAATTATATAGTGCCTTGTATCTGTTTACATCTTCAACCCAGTATAAGATTTGTGTAGGGTTTACAGAGGTGGCTTAGTGGTTTAGAGCATTTGTTGCTCTTCCAGAGGACCTGGGTTTGGATCCTAGGCACCCATGTGGTATCTCACACCCATATGTACTTCTAGATCCAGGAGATCTGACACTCGCTTCTGGCCTCTGCTGATCCAGGCACACATGTGGATCACATACACACATGCAAGCAAAACACATAAAAATAAATAAATCTAGAAAATCTAAAGATTTATATTATATAATTTTGTATTATGTAAATTATATTGGATGAGTAAAGTTATGATGAATGATTACTGATTTGTGCTGAATATACTTGCATGAAAATATTTTACTGATACTCAACTACCTACTAACTACTGAACTGTGTAATGGATGATTGAGGCTAATTGAATATAATTCTTGATTTAAAGAAGCTTACAGATCCAGTGTATAGGAAACATATGTAACAAACCAATCACAAGCTTATTAAGTTAGTTTCTGAATACATAAGGATCATTCACAGAAAAGATGAATGGCTTTTATCAGAAACCGTGATTATTGTTTTTGCTATTTTTATCTGAATTTTACTTAGAAGATCTTTGTATTGCTTAACAACTGGCACAAACTGGATTAAAGTAGAATGTGGTGTAGATGAATAGTTTTGTCTTGGTAAATGTTGGATCTTGGTGATGGGCATTCATTTTACAATTTATTCACTTCTATATGTTTAGAAATGTATAGGATAAAAAATAAAAATAAGAGACAATGATGTGCATTGATGTACAGCCCCAAGTTTTCTAGCTGAGGTTGGTGGCTCATGCCAGTAATTAGTCCCAGCACTTGAGAGGTTGAGAGGGAAGAACTGATGTGACTCTCAGGCCTTCTTGAATAATGACCTAGTGAGTTCCATGCTACTATGGGCTACAGAATGAGGATTTGTCTCAAAATTGAAGGGAAAAAAAAAGAGGGCAAAAAGGAAAGGTGGAGGGTGGGGGATTTGCTGGTTTCCAAGCATAACTTTTATTTTTTTTATTTCAGATTGAAGATGCTCAGGTTCAAGACACTGGTCGTTACACCTGTGAAGCAACCAATGTCGCTGGAAAAACTGAGAAAAACTACAATGTTAACATCTGGGGTACGTATAATGAGCGTTTGTCAAGCAAAGCAGTTAGCCTATGGTTTGCTTTTACTGTGTCAGTTTTTAAAGTGGTAACCATTCATTGTTCTGTGTACATGGAAATGATCAGTTTCCCAGGTGTCAATCCAAGGAATTGATCCTAAAAGTATAATAGATGGATGGATGCCTTGAGCCTAAACCTGTTCATCATTGCCACTTCAGTGTGGCATGATTCCCCTCTCTGGCCTAACATCCCTGTTAGCTTTTACATCCAGGACTTGTACTGATTGTACTTTCTCTAGACACTGGTGATGGTTTGTCCAGTGAGAATAAATGAAAAAGCCATGTTACATATGCAAATTATGTTCATGCCCTGTTAGGCAGCAGAGATTTATTATCCTTGAAACATTTATCATTTATTACTAAGATAATGAACAATGCCTTGGCTGTGACTATCTACTATTTAAAAACACTTTCATCTCCAACATTTTACATTTGACTCACTTGAAAACTGACATTTTTTAAAATAAAAAGCAGAGAAAGATTTTTTCTTAATTTTGATGGACAAATTAATTTTAAAAGCACACATGCATAGAAATAGCTTGTTAAAAACAATTATTTTAATAATCATTGAAGTAAGTTATAAGAAAAGATATTTCTTACTCTGTAAAAAGATGAGCTTGTATTTAAAGGATACCATTTGTCATATAGCAAATTTATATTTACTACATATGAATTATGCATCATCAGTTTCTACTCCTAGCTCTTTCTGTTCTTTCTCCCTCTCCATTTCACCTTCCTTTTATTCTTCAAGTCTTTGAAATGAGAAAAATATTCTCATATCTGTCAATTTATACAAGACACTGAGCTGAAAGCTTATAAAGTAAAGGTTAAGGGGTTGGCTACAGATGGGAAATTAGGAGTCAGAGCAACTGGAAAGTGAAATGAGAAGAGAGACCCATGTTATATACTTTCTCTCAGATGTGGAAACCAAAACCAAAGCCAACAGAAAATGTGAAAGTAGAAGGAGGAAGGTTCATTAGGGAGGAGAAGAGGGCTGGGGTGAAGGAAATAAGAGAGAGGGCAAGAGAAGGTAGGAGGGAAGTCAAGGTAGACATGAACAAAAGATGATGCATGTGCAGTAGAAAAGCCCGTGAGATGCTTAACAAAATAAGTGAGGTGGAGACTTGAAGCGTTTGAGATATCTATGGACCAAAAATGTAAAGTTATCCTCCACACAGTCAAATGAAAAGAATTAGAGTCATAACCATATTAAATAGAAGCTGAGATTCCTTTAAGATATAAAAGAACTGTGTACATAGCCGGGTGTTGGTGGTGCACGCCTTTAATCCCAGCACTCAGGAGGCAGAGACAGGCAGATCTCTGTGAGTTTGAGGCCAGCCTGGTCTCCAGAGTGAGTGCCAGGATAGGCTCCAAAGCTACACAGAGAAACCCTGTCTCGAAAAACTAAATAAATAAATAAATAAATAAATAAATAAATATAAATAAAATAAATGTGTACACTAGAGTGTTATACAGAATGGCTACCAAGAGCACTGTATGAATATGGGGATAGAAAAGGGAACCCTATGTGGGAAACTGAGAAGCAGTAGTCAAACAGACTGGAGGAAAACTTATTAAAAGTGATGCCATAATAAGGCCAAACTAGATTCCCTTAATATAGGTGACAATGGTGTGACTGGGAAAATATATGAGGCCAATGGCAGTGGGTCCAAGATCCAACACTAATGCACAAACTGACTTAGTGGAGCCCATTCTCTGTGGAGAGATACCTTGCCCAGCCTAGACACAGGGGTGTGGGGGTGGAGAGGTGCCTTGGTCCTACCTCAACTAGATGATGGGACAGACTTAGAAGATTTCCTAGGGGAGGTCTTACCCTCTCTGTGGAGCAGATTGGAGGAGGGGGCAGTGGGGGAGCAGGAGGAGAGGAGAGAGCAGGAACTGGGATTAAAATGTAAAATAAACATTGATTTTAAAAAAAGAAAAAGAGAAATCCAAAAAAAAAAGTGATGGCATAGAGCTGACCCTGCCCCTCACTGGCCCTGGGATAGTAGCCCCATGACACCCAGCACTGAAGAACTTGTCCTGCCCCTCATAGAAAAGCTGCCCCAGCCATGGGCATGGCTCTGCCCCTTGCCTGAGGGGGGTGGTCCCAGTGGGCTGGATTGATCAACTCAGCTACCACCCGGGCATATATCCAGGGTTTTGAATTGGCATACCCCAGCATCTACCCCCTCTATGACCTGCTGGAGCATGTGAAGGCACTCGTCTTATAAAACCATAGCAGCAGGATCTGCATAACTCCAGGCAACAGTAGGATATCCAAGAGGAGATAGATGAGAGTCCAGTATTGATGGTGTTCCAGAAGCCAGAGGCCTCGAATCTGACCAACTACACATTGCACAATGGATATTTGTAAGTAAAGCTGCTAGGAAAAAAGGATCTACTGCATGACACAGTGCAGCTCCCAAGGTCACTAAGATGAATGAAGAGGTGATGGAGAGGCGGGAAAGACAGAGGAGCAAAGTATTTTTTGTTTGATTTTTATCTAATTTTTACTTGTATTTTCTAGTTTTATTTTTACTTCTTTTTAAATTTTCCTTTGGGAGAGGATACTACAGGGTGAGGGTGGATACAGAGGGACTGGGAAATGAATGGAATTGGGGTGTATGATGCAAAGTTCCCAAAGAATCAATAAAAAATTATGTTTACAAAAATGATGGCATGGAAACTAAGAACAGTGATGTCCCAGGAAAAATAAAATGGGCAATGAATAAGCGGTGCATAGATAGATGGAATAGTTAATGGATAGTGTTATATATTGCAGAAAAGTCACTAGACATAAACTTTAAGGTGTCCTTTACAAATTTATAAACAAATGCCTTTGAAAGAAGAGGTTTAACAATGGAAAGAAGAGTGCAATAAATATAATAATGAATGATAAGTGAGAAATTTGAGATGTTAGAGATAGGATCACTTGAAAAATATGCATTCTTTCCTCTGTTCTATCACTATTCCGTGTGTAGTATAATGGCTCATGAGGAATATGAAAACTCTGGGTTAGAAAGCTCTAAATAGTTAAATTTAAATGAAATGTCTATTTTAGGTTAGACAGAAATGTATATGGGTTTATGTGCCATATAATTGAGACCATAAGCATGAGTAGGGACTAATGTTGAACAGGATGAAAACAATACAAAGGACTAAAGTGCACTATCGCAGTCAGTGAACTCAACATTGCTCACTATGGACTAGTATGTTACAGTGGAAGGTGAGGAAACGTGTGGTAGAAGGGCAATGGGAATAAATAAATGAGAAAACTTCATTCCATCAGTGTATTCTAAGTGTTGGATAACACATTGAAGAGTTTCAAAGAAGAGCCTCGGTGCTGAAATACGTATTTTCAAAGAAAGCAGTTCTACTCTAGATGTGTTTAAGAAAATGAATCAAGATGAGCAGAGGCTCAGTCAGCTGGGCTCGTGGATGGTGGTGATTCTCTTAGAGAAGGAACAAAGGCTGTTGTGTTCAATTCTGGAAAAATCAAGCGTGGCAGTACTTCTTGAGCATTGTATGTGACCTGTGAAGAATCAATTTACTGTAAGGTCTAGATAGAGTCTTCATTAGATTTATAACTACTTATATTCCTGGAAGCCACTAGGAGTAGCTGAGGAGAGAGCTGAAAGTGGAAACTATGAGCTTAGAGAAGTGTCAGTCTGTGGTTGTGTCATTTTCTGTTGTGCAGCTCATTGACTGTTGGATACGTGATGCCAGTATTGCTAGATAAGAAGGGCGAAGAGTCAGACAATCAAGACTATTGGCAAGTGAGACATTGAAATTATTGATGATAAAATCTAAGATGCAGAGAGATCAATAAACAAAAAAACAGCTGAATATGAGGACATTTGAGAGGTGAAAAGATTCAAGATTCAATTAGGATGAGAATTGAGGATTGGGACTACTTGAGTGAGAAAGGAAGAATGGAGCAGTCATCAAATCATGGCTGAATTTATAGGAAGAAACATATAGGAAGGAATTTCTAGATGATATAAAGGCCATTGTACAGTCTCTGATGGAGCAAAGGAAGAGCAGACTGAAGAACTGAACCAATGGTATTTAGACTGGTTATTCATGTGGCTACTGCCTTTCTACAGAATGATGGGTGAACTTGGCATGAAGAGGAAGAATTAAAGCAAGTTCAGTAGCCAGTCAATGACCACATGAATGGCAGATTCACAGATGTAATAAAATGAAATGAATTGGTCTCATGAGCTTCAGAAGAATAGAATTGTTTGTACAGAGGTGGTTGAATAAGGACTGAAGCTTTAGTGGGGCATGAAAAGGTTCTATGACCACTCAACTCTCAGGAACTTGGAAGAATGAGTATCTGCCATCCTGGAGGAGAGGGGGCAGTTTAGCCAATGTCTTTAGGCTACAACCCATTTGAGAAAATCTTAATAATCAAGACTGACTTGGAGGGTTCCAGTCAAATTCTGCAGACCAATAAAGGACAAGGTGTGCAGTCTAGAATAAGTGAATGTCTATCTCTTGGGTGAAGCCCTTTGTCTTGATCTTTACTTGACATTATATGCCTATTGTACTCTACTTCTATCCAGCATCTGAAATATCAAAGCTGACTGTGCATTGATGTCTGAGTTAACTTTACATTTGTAGGTATTAACACTCTTATACCGATGTCTAGATATCTATAATAAACAGTGCTATTCTGAGTACTTCAATTGTAGAAAATGTCTGTGTCAGTGGGAAGTTCTGTTATTAGGAATTGATTGTATTCTTCAGCGGTAACATTCAACATTATGTGCTGTTCTCTTACATCATTTTGGGTAGAAGCCCTTTCTACTATGTGTAAAGTGTTAGGGAAGCTATGTGACACAAAAATTATAGAATCGATACCTTTGCTTTCCTTTCAGTACCACCCAACATTTATGGATCTGATGAGCTTGTGCAACTTACTGCCATTGAGGGGAATCTCATCACTCTGCTGTGTGAATCAAGTGGAATTCCACCCCCAAATCTTACTTGGAAGAAGAAAGGTCAGTTTACATTCCAAAAAGTTGAAATGATAGATGATAGATAGATCTATAGATAGATAGGTAGATAGATGATAGATGAATGGATAGGTAGATAGATGGATATGATAGAATGAAACTTTTGTTTAGCTAACATGTTGATTTGTAAAAGAAACAAAAAATTAACAACACAAACCTTTCTAAGGGTTTTCATGCTCATTGCTAGACAGCAAAATTGCTTTGTATTAATTCTCAGCATGTAAAACTTCAGTATTATCTCACTGAAGATCATATTTGGACTAACTGGTTACCAGAAAAATCACTTTTCTGCACTATGTACTTGCTTCTTATCAAATGAATTATGAAACATTTATAATCAAGTCTACCATTCAAAGAATTATTTTCTTTACAAATGTCCTTAAAATTATTTTTAAAGTAAACAGTTTTGCAACATATTTTAGGATTAAAGTCTGTAGTTGAGTAGGTTTTCATTAGAAAATATCTATCCATGCCCAGTAAGCATAAGATAGACCATTGAAAACTGTATTTCCTCTGGTTCTTCATTTTGTCCACAAGAAAAGGATTATTTCACAGGATTGTCTGCCTTTTAGATATTTAAACTAGTAAGTAAATAAATAAGTTCTTATCTAGGAATGTATATAAAATCTACATATTTTTGCCTCAAATTCTGCTATTTGGATTTTTATTGCAGACTCTCTGGTGTTGGCTGACTCTGCGGGACGAGTTCGAATTTTATCTGGAGGCAGACGGTTACAAATTTCAGTCGCCGAGAAAGCTGATGCAGGACTCTACACATGTATGGCATCCAATGTGGCTGGAATTGCAAAGAAAGATTATAATCTTCAAGTGTACAGTAAGTTATTGACCTCCACAATCTCTAGGCATGATTTTCTTCTAAAGATTCCTATATTTACTTTCCATTTATCTTTGGATCTGAAAGGTTCATTCACAGTAGTACAGCTATACCTGTCATGTGGTATAAATTGTGCTGACATAATCAGAGAGCAATTACTTCCTTCAGGCAATTATTTACTCAGCAATACTGCTGTTCATCCCTGTCATCCCACCAGTAACACATACATCAAGGTGGTTGCAATATGCTGAGTGCAAGAAATGTGTAGAAAGGGAAGAGAGGGGATTATACTTTATAGGTTTTGTTGCTGGTGGTGTTTTTGTTTTGATTGTTAGTTGGTTTTGATAGGTTCTCATGTAGCCCAGGCTAGCCTCAAACTTGGCACATAGCTAAATGACCTTTAGCTTCTTATCCTCTTTCATCTGGTGGGATTACAAGCATGTGCTAGCAAACATGCCTCATATATGCTAGGCCAGTTCTCCTCACCAACTGAACTATAGCCCCAGCCCTAGAGTATATTTTAAAAACATAGAATATTTTAGTTTTAGACTATAACCTGTGCAAGCTTTTAGAGTGCTTGAAATAATTCATTATGTTACTTGATCTTTATGTGCATCTCCATAGGAGGGAGAATGTTGCCTCTGTCATGCACATATGGGAATTCAAACTCACAAACATTTCCATGGTTGAACAAGGTCACATGGCTTATGTGTGGTAGAACTGTCCTAGAACACAGGTTTACTGACACTGGTCTATTTTCCTTTCCACACACATATAAGTGCAACCTGGCCTCCTTTCTAATTCTTACAATCAGTATCTATTAGGAAATTCAGGGAAACAGAATGACTGGCTACCATTGGCTTAGCTAGTGGTTTACTTCTTCACATGAGGAGACTTCCAAGGCTAGCACATTGGTCTCTGGAAAAGGTCACCTCATCATTCCTAACAAGACAGAGAGGCTCTGTGATTTTCTAGCCCTTCCTTCATGGTGTTCATGGTTGTTGCATCTGTGACACCAAATCCAAACTCAAGGCAAGAAAGGGAAAGGTGCTAATATTTTGCTTTATATCAAGAGAGCCCAGCCCCCATAGTGCCTTTCTTTAAACAATAAAGGCTTGAATTATGTAAAAATAAGCATGAGTGTCTATATCATTAGTATAAAGATTTGCCTTTGTCTTTAGTAAGCAGTAAAATGATATGCATGCTAAATAATTTTCTTTATGATTTATTATCTGTAACTGTTTGACATGAATCCCTGTTTTATGTGCCTATACTTCCAGTGTCATGTAAAGCTCTTTCAGGTGAAAAGGAATCACTAGTGAAATAAGTTAAGAAGTCCTAAGCTATCATATCCGTTGTAGTACTTGGAAGCTTCTGTAAATTGCAACTATAATAGATAAGTTCAATTACTATATTATTTCTCAAAAATGAGTGAATATAGCATTTGTCTCCTCCTGGGTCAATAGCTTTCTTTTAGATACCAACCCACTTAGAAACAGAAGAATTCCACCTCTCAGTGTGCTGAAATTTATTACATAGTAATGTAGTCTGTTATTTTGAGTCTTGTTTAGAAGCTGATATATTGACATGATATTGTATTTATCTTGGGACTGAGGATGTAACTCATTTGATTATGTTTACCTAGCATGCACAAAGCCCTGTCTTTCATCCCCTAACCACATCTGGGTGAGGTGGTACATACCTTGTTATCACAGTTTTTTAAAAGTAGAAACAAAATGATCAGAAGTTCAAGGTGAAAATTCCTATTGGAATTTTACTATTGGAAGTGAAGCAAGCATTTCCAGTATTGTTTCTCATTATGTATTTTTCCCCAAAGTTCGACCATCAATAGCCAACAGCGGCAGTCACAGCCCTGAAAGTATTGTCATCCGTGGGAAGAGTATTTCCTTGGAATGCGAGGCGCAGGGTATTCCTCAGCCAACAGTGACCTGGATGAAAGATGGCCGCCCCTTGACCAAGGGAAAGGGAGTGGAAATACTGGATGAGGGTCGCATCCTTCAGCTGAAGAACGTTCATGTATCTGACACAGGCCGTTATGTGTGTGTTGCTGTGAATGTAGCAGGAATGACTGACAAAAGATTCGACTTAAGTGTTCATGGTAAGTAGAGATTAGGGAATCAGCAGATCTGTTCACAGGATGATATGATCCAGTATCCTGGGAGCATAGACCTCAGACCTGGAAGTATTCTATTTATATCCCATCTGTTGTTTAGTTTTAATTATTTGAAAATTCCATGAATAAGTGTAGGAAAATATGACCATTTACACATCCCCATCACCCATTTTCCCTCCATCTCTACTTGAATCTCCCCCAACACCTGTCCCTCCTAACTTTCTTTGTTTTTCTTTTTGATATATTACTAATTCCAAATGGTGCTGCCCATGTGTACATGGTATAGGACCTTAAAGCACTGGGAAGCTTCTACTGGCCACACCTTCCAAGAAGAAGGATTCCCCTTTCCCCAGCAGCTATTGACTGCCAGTACCTCCTCAATAAGGCGTATGGCCTGGAGTTACCTCCCTTGTCTGTACATGAATTTTGACTAGCTTGATCATGCATAGTTCTTGTGGAGGTAACCACAGCTAGTGTGAGATTGTGAGTGGCATGACAGTGTTTTTCACAGAACCCACCCCTTTCTACATCCTTACTACTTCCCTAGTCTCATCATTTAACTGTCTACACCTGATTTCATGCTACTTGCTGAGACAAACACATAGAGTGTTCTTTTCAGGATGCCTATAACAAAGTAGAAAAAAAATTAAGATGAGCTCTTACTGTGTAATCAACTGGTCTAGAATGCACTATGTAGATGAGGCTGACATAAGTCAACCTCTCCCGCCTCACTAGTGCTGGGAGTAAAGGCATGCACAACCACATCAGGCTAAATTCTTTAATAATACAATTTTCAAGATCAAGTCTTAAGGAAGACTATTTTAAAGTTTGCTGCTCAATATCTCTTGGATATGAGTTGTATTAAAGTCAGATTTAAGATCCTAATGAATAAAGTATAAATTTTGGGCAGGAAGAGACCAGACATCGATAAAGTCAAAGTCAACTATTTGTATGCATGCAATTTGATGTATAATTTTAAATCTACAGAAGCAATGGGAATTTCAATAGACACAAATTTTGCAGTTTGAATTACTCATCATTAATGAGTAAATCTAGGTCTGCTGCTGGATGACTATGATCCCAGAACTCTTGAGGCTAAATTGGGAGGATTATGAGTTCAAAGCCAGCCTCATTCAATAGGGAGTTCCAGATTCACATAAGTTACAAAATGAAACTCTGTCTCATAAGAAACAAAAAAGAAATTATTGAAGCTCAGTGTTAATCTCTTATGTTTTGTAGCCAGTGTGTATGCCAAAGATGAAGGGAATGGGATAAAAAAGAAAGAATATTAATATTAAGTATCTTTTGTTAAATTCATTTAATTTTTAAAATTACAACAATTTTTACAGAAGCCTGTCTATAAGAAGATTGTGAATTTATATTATAAATCTGTCAGAAAATAGGACTAGTTCACCATTAATGGAATATCAAAGTCAAAGTGATCAAATTGGAAAGCAGTGACATACATTTTTATTTTCAGAGGTAGCATTATTATAATTGCTTGTTTTGATTACTACTAATTAGAAAATGTAAGGCTCCTATTGGAAATAAGCTGTTGAGGATTATATATTGGCTGCCTTCTTTTCTATTTCCTGTCACTTCGGTTTTATCTTACAGCCCCTCCAAGCATCATAGGGAACCAAGGAGTACCTGAGAACATCAGTGTGGTGGAAAAGAGTTCCGTATCCCTGACTTGTGAAGCCTCTGGCATCCCCCTGCCTTCCATAACCTGGCTTAAAGATGGCTGGCCTATCAGCCTCGGAAGTTCCGTGAAAATTCTCTCAGGTATTCACAATTTGTCCTGTGGCTTTTATTAAACCAAAGTGAGTTTATATCACGTTAAGCTATTAACAAACACAGTGCTTGCAAAAAACACCCAATACTCAGTCTTATTTTAGGAAAATCCCTGAATCCTTCCCGTGTCTTGCTATGCTTTGCATTTCCTAGGACTCTGTATCCATGTCCTGACGAAGTGGAGAGTAGTGTCAAAGATTTTTTTACAGTCTGGCTACCAAAAGCCTGAGCACATTATCTTCTTGTCTCAAAATTATCTTCATTTCTTTTTTTAAAAGTAGTTTCTGCTCTGGAAAATCTGAATTTATTAAATGTGATAGCATCAAAGATGGCAGAAATGAAAACAGCATGGCAGAGTGCGGTCGGCTGGCTCTTACACATTTACAGGAGTGGTGTTTTGGTTCTATTTAGTTTTGTTTTGATTGACCAGCAGCTGGAGATCCCTAAGCACAGCACATTAAAAGTATTTCACCTTATGACTGCCAAAGGACTCGTTCAGCTTTGCAATCTGGATGTGTTTTGTGCGATGGATAAATGAGAAGCAGATGAATGACATAGCTCACTGCTACTCTGCTGCACACTTCTGTTTCCTTAAGACTTAATCCTCCTGAGGCTCGTCTGCAAGCAGGGCTTTGGTGGCGGTTGTCATAGAGTTGTCTGCCATGAACAGTTAACTGCCACAAAAATCTGGTAGAAACAAGGGGTATCTTGATATAAATATAAATTGCTGTCTTAACTTATTTCAGGTTTTCACCAGATTATGTGAGAGGTCCAGGAAGGGAGGAGAAAAGAAAGACGTGACTTAGTTGACTGAGGATTGTAGACCCAGTAATGACTCATAAAAGTTCTATCACTTCAATGTCCCTATACTGGAACCATACTGAGGTCTCACTAATCTGAGCTAGCCACGAAGAGTGGGTGACTCCTTTCCAAATTTACATAAGTGTTTTAAAAGGAAAACCCTGTTTATGTTGTTGACCTCTGTTTTGCTGGGGAAAACAAAACTCAGTTCAATCGGTCAGCTTTGCTTTTCTCAAATAAGATATTGCTAAACTCACCTTCCGGTGAATCGAGGGTGGGGAAGTTGCTGGTTGGACAAGCAGTGCCTGTAACTGAAAGCAGATGGTAGCTCCTCAGGCAGATTCAGGTGAGTATTAAGTGAGAATTTTATGTGTATCCATTAGAATTTTTAGTACAAATCCAAGGTGCTAGGCAAAAACATGCTTACCTAAAAATTATGTATAAATCTGAGCAGTAACTTTTTTTTCACCAAAGATTTTTCACAAGTCATCCGGAGGCCTCTACTTCCAGTGTATCAGTTTCTTTTCAAAAGGCTTTGCTTCGTCTTATGTGCTGACTCCTCTATTTTTGTCCTTAAAGGACATTTCCCTCCAAATTCCATCTTTCAGCATGTCTCAGTCTTTGTGCATTTCCTCTTCAAGGAAAACCCAGAAATTCAAAATATGGAAAGAAGCCCAGGCAGCATTGCACACATGCCTGAGGTGACCCCATAAAACTGTCATTCATGATGCCAGGATTTCCAAGAAGCTAACCTGATAGCTGCCAGACAGTACATCTTCATGGTTTTATCTCCTTTTAGATCAGTGTCACCCAAATCTGAGTCCAGCAATCTAGTCCTCTTGTTGGCATCTCCCTTTGATCATTCAGCCTCATTTTGCAGTCAGCACCCTCTTGTGAAATCACCAATCAGAATGTGACCTTATTTTATGCATGTAACACCTTCCTTCACCCTCAGCAAACACTAAACTCCCTAGCATAACACCAAGGGCACACAGAATCTGGCCAAACCTTATGCAGCTTCACCTGTCGTTATTTCCCACACCTATTTCATTGGACAAACTCCTGCCATTCCTACCTTCTACCTTTGTAACTTCATATACGACAGTGTGTTATCCTCTCTTCGAGACTTCATTTCTCACCTGATGTCACCCAGAACGGTATTTATCTTTAAGTAACTGGTGCTTTGCTTTTCCAGGAGGCAGGATGCTGCGGTTGATGCAGACCAGACCAGAAGATGCTGGCCAGTATACTTGTATTGTAAGGAATGCAGCTGGTGAAGAGAGGAAAATGTTTGGACTTTCAGTATTAGGTACTTGTGTATTTTGCAGTATCCAAAAGGAAAATCCACTTGGCCTCGATGCATTCTGGACACAGAGTTCAAATTTATTCACAGCTGGAATTTATACCTATGTGGTCTTTGGCCCCCAGACTATGATTCTTGGCAATGTTTCAGCATTACAATTATTTGGAGGAAATGAGTCGGATTCAACTGCAAAACTGCCTTGTTGTGCCAGTTCACAACTGCTAAGAGATGTTCTAAGTCTTGATATGACTTGCTTAAAGTGAGAGGGCTTACTGGTTAGTTTTTGGATACATTCTTAGTTTAATTGATGTCACTGTGATAAAGTAACCCAAAGTAACTTAGGGGAGAAAGGATGTATTTTAGACCACAGCCACCACTTTGGGGAAATCAAGGCATCAGAAAGTTGAAACTGTTTACATGCACAAACAAGAATAAAAAGAGATTAAATGCCTATCTGTACAGACTCAGCTGGTTTTCTCCTCTCTTACAGAGTCCAGAAGTCAAACCCAGGGAGTAGGGCCACCCAGAGGGGTTGGGTCCTTCCACTTCAGTTAACCTAATTAACACAATCCTCCACAGACTTGTCCATAGCCCAGCCTAATTCACACAGTCCTTCTTTGCAACTCCTTTTCCACAGGATTAGAGATAATGTCAAATTAACCATTACATATAATCATCCCACATTTTATTCATATTTATGATTTAAATTATAATTTCATTTGTTAAAACTGGATTTATAACAATTTTATAGCACAAGTGAAAACTTACTTTGGTTATGCTTTTGTGTATTTATTTTAGTTCCTCCTCATATTGTGGGTGAAAATACGTTGGAAGATGTGAAGATTAAAGAGAAACAGAGTGTTACATTGACTTGTGAAGCAACAGGTTAGGAGACAGTTCTTTCAGTTCTGGTTCTTGTTGTACATGATGATCATCATTGCCTGCAAAGTGTGTGTGTGTGTGTGTGTGTGTGTGTGTGTGTGTGTGTGGTGGGGAGTGGAGTGTCTTAATCCCCTGGGGAAAGTGTAGCCACTAGAATAGGCATTAGAAATTGAATGGTGGTGTCCTGTGCCTGGGTGGAAGGCAATAGGAAACCTTACAGATTCAATGAAGATAAAAATAAACAAACAAAAACACCTTGAATGAAAGAAGGAAGGGAGGGAGAGAGGGAAAGAGGGAGAGAAGCAAAATATTTTTTCCTAGTCAATGAAATATCTTTGGTAGAAGCAGTGGGGTAATTAACTATGTCGTCAGAGAACAGTTTTATCATGTGTCAAGAAAAGGGTGTCTAGTTTCACTCCTGCCCTGCATCTTTCCCTTCCCCTCCCTGTCTTTGTCTAAACTTTATATCATTCTCTTTGAAAACTCTGGTTTTAAAAGTCTATTCTAAAGAAATTCTAAAAAAGTCAACAAGTCATCTTTGTTGACATGACTTGCTTTTGTAGTTTTTAAATGACAAGAAGTCATCTGAATAATTTTCAATAATATTTAACACACGTCTCCATTTATAACTTTCTAAAGTGTTTTCCACTGGCTACAAGTATTGAACAAATAACTATTTTAGTTAAGTATCTAAATTCTTGGTAAGAATCACAATATAACACAAAATGTTTGTTGAATTAAATGCTTTACTTTTCTACCATTTCCTCTCAAAGAATAAAAAGGGGTTTAATATGAATAGTAAAGAATTCATAATATTTTTATCACAGCATGTGCTCCATTCTTTTAAAGTGCAATTTGCTCTGAAGATAGTTAATTATAGGAACTGAAACATCTACTCTAAATGTTTAGAGTCATTCACAGATAAAAGCTAACCTACATTTGAAAAGATTTCTATCTTGTATGTCTTTTGCACCACAGTGTAATCACTGCTACATTAAGGTTTCATTCTTCACACTATTTCAGAAAGAATAGCCACTTCATTGTTTTATAAGTGAGACATGCAATAGAAAGCAAATATGTGCAATGCCTTCTTTGGATGCTGGCCATTTGCAGATTTGTGATATTGAGTTGCCCTAAAAAAATGGCCTTTCCTTAACAGGGAACCCTGTGCCAAAGATTACATGGCACAAAGATGGACAACTGCTCCAAGAAGATGAAGTCCACCACATGATGTCTGATGGCCGTTTTCTTCAGATCACCAATGCTCAAGTGTCACAAACAGGACGATACACATGCTTGGCCTCTAATACAGCTGGTGACAAAAGCAAAAGTTTCAGTCTCAATGTGTTTGGTAGGTGTGGTCTTCGTTTCAAATCTTGAAATATAAGCTTTCTCTCTCTCTCTCTCTCTCTCTCTCTCTCTCTCTCTCTCTCTGTGTGTGTGTGTGTGTTTCATGGAATTTCATTATGTAAAGGATACCAGCACTCATGTATGCAGGATATTTTTATTTCATTCTTTCGTTGCTATGGAATAAACTATGTTCTGGGCATAGTGTTTTGTGCAAGGAATAAAAAGGATGAAGATAGACATTTAAATATGCAATTTGTGTGTTTAAACATCTGTATATATTAATGAATCAACATTGGTTTCTTACAGCATCCAAGTTATATTTATGTCTCAAGCATTTTGTTGAAATGGATTCTAAGTCTCTACTTAGTCTTTCAAATTTAACATGTACCACCAAAATGTATTACATTTGATGATGGATGCATAAAAACTTGCACTACTCAGCTGACCTGTATGTAAATATACAGATATTGAGTTTTTTCAATTATTTTTGTATTTACTTCATATAACTGGGAGAGCATATGCATACTTTCATATGTACAAATTCTCTCATATTCCACATAGAACAAGAACCTCAAGGAGAGGTCACAATCTAAATGGACCACATGTATATATGAATATATGTAAGAAAGATCCACCAGAACAGCAGTTGTTGTGAAACTCATCAAATAAGTAACATCAAGTAGTAGCAGATATAAAGAGTAATCATATACAAGCCTAAAGAATTCTATAGGCAGAACTGACATAGTTTTATACAGAAAGATACATATGAATGAGAAGTCAGACCTGGAAGATTTGTGTTACACTTACCACAGTATGTTATTATCTCTTTTGTATATGTCACCTTCCTCCTTTACCCTGTGACATTTTTCACTGGTTTTATACAGAATAATAATGATTAACTATTTTGTAACTCTTAAAAACTGGGATTAGAAAGATAAGCACAATGGCAATTTGGGAATACATGCCTAGAAAAATTTCTAAGAATGTTCCGTTAATAAAACTTTAAATCTTCCCAGTATCTCCAACAATCGCTGGTGTAGACAGTGAAGGCAGCCCTGAAGATGTCATTGTCATCCTTAACAGCCCCACTTCTCTGGTCTGTGAGGCATATTCCTATCCTCCAGCTACCATCACCTGGTTCAAGGATGGAGCGCCTTTAGAATCCAATCGAAATATCCGAATTCTTCCAGGTAATTAGTTAACCTCAGCTAACCAAGATGCATTTGCTAACCATGTGCTATTATAGAAAAGAACAGTCATGTGTTAGTTTTCAAAAAAAGTGCCTGTGCTTTCATTCTATGACAGTATATTGATATCTTACTATCTATGCTTTTTGTATATATCTTAAAATTTAAAATACCCTAAAATTATTACTTGAAAGACACACACACACACACAAAAAAAAAACTGAAGCAAAGAAATGCTACAGTGTCACTAATTGCTAATATATATTGTAATGTGGAATGCCACAAGGGATAGAAACTCATTTTGATAGAATTTAGCCTTGAAAGAGTTAATATGAAGACTGAGTTTATTCCTCTTTAATACTTGGCAATATGTGTGAAAATAGAAAGAACTAAAAACTGTAATTATTGTCTTTAAGACATTTAATCTTATGTGGAAGACTGATAATGGAGAAAACTTACTATCGCCATGAAGTTGAAAACAACCAGGCATAATAAATGAAGAGGGGTTATGAAAAATGGGGTAGTGACAAGTTTTATAAAAATTCGGAAGACAATATGGTCATTGTGGACTCAAGCGGTTCAGAAAAATGTTCACTGCCTAGCCAGAATATGGGCTTGATTTTTTTTTTTTTAAGTTCTAGAATTTAGTTGGTTGGTGTTAAGTTGGGAGAGTTTTCAGATCCACCAGGATGACTAGTGAACAAAAGGCAAGTGGGAGTAGCATGGCCAGCTGCAGTCACTACTTACCAGGAAGCATTGTGGGGGAGCCTAAAGACAGTCAGAAAGGAAAGCGGAGTGTTGTTTGGATCCCTTCATTGTTTAACTTCACACACCGAACAGTTGAGAACTAGTGACAGTTTTTTAAAGATTCATTTTATATTTGTTTATGCATCTGTGTCTTGGAAGGCATGCATATACATGTGTGTGGATGCCTGAAGAACGCATTGAATCCCCTAGAACTGAAGTTACAGGCAGATGTGAGCCACCCAACGTGGGTTCTGGGAATTGAACTCAGGAACTTTGGAAGAGATAAGCCATCTCTTCAGCCCCTATTGACATTTTTTGAGGGGGGGGAGAAAGGTACCATATTCAAAACTGGGTTTTAGCAAAAATAATCTCTGATAGGCCAGGTCGATTAGAAGAAGGCAGTAACAAAGGTGGGGACCTTCTTATGAAAGTATGAAACAGAGAATATGTAGCTTCCCTTTTCCATGCTAATAATTGTCAATTACTCTATGAGTAGAGGGTAGGGAGAGCTGATAGCTACCTCTCTCTGTTGAAACTTGTTCTGATTTGGGTTTGCACAGGTTTTGTCCCTGGTGAGTCAATCACAGTCCAGTTAGAAGAGAACACACCTAAAACTATTTTAGTTAGCACAAATTTGTCTTCAATGTTTTTGTGATTTTCTTTTAAAGAGACAAAGTTAGGTGGATAAGGAATGTATGTGGACTAGGGAAGAGCTGTGGAGGAGTTGAGTGTGATCTGAAGACATTGTACAAAACTGCAAACTCTCAACGAACTAATTGGAAAGTGTGAACTGAAATAAAGTCCCTATCTGGAGTGATATAAAGAGGCATGGAAGTATCAGAGCAAGTATGAGCCATTGCCACACAGAAAACAATAGAGACTTAGAGACCCTCTCAGCTACTCTGTAGGCCCCATGTGTATTGTGGACTATTTTACATCAAATATCTACCACTAAGTTGATATTCATAAGAAGCAATGCTTAGCCAGGTGGTGGTGGTACACATCTTTAATCCCATGCCCTTGGAAGGCAGAGGCAGGTGGATCTCTGAGTTCGAAGCCAGTCTGGTATACAGAGAAAGTTCCAGAACAGCCTGGGCTACACAGAGAAATCCTATCTCAAAAAAAAAAATCTAAAAAGGAAGAAGAAAGGAAGAGGAGGAGAAAAGAGAAAGAGAAAGAGAAAGAAGCAATGTTTACAAAAAAATAAAGTCTTAGCAGTTTGTACATTCCTCACTTACTTCTTATGTGTTCCTTAATGTTTCAGGAGGCCGCACCCTGCAGATACTGAATGCACAAGAAGACAATGCTGGAAGATATTCATGTGTGGCCACTAATGAAGCTGGGGAGATGATAAAACACTATGAAGTGAAAGTTTACAGTAAGTTCCAAAAGAAAGCTTTATCTCACCTCTTCCTGAAGATGTCTAACTTATTTTTCCTAATTGTTAATATTGACCGTTAAAGACCCTTGCTTATATAGCTTGCCTCATCAAGGATGGAGGTTGCATTAAGTGTCATGTCTATACCTTCAGTTGCTTGCAGATGTGAGGTCTTTCATGGAAGGACTGTGAAGAAATGTCCCTGATCTCCTTGAGACCATGTTAATTGCTACTCATTGTGATTTGTCTGGTAGATTGTGTATTTAAAACAACCAGTGCTTAACTCTCAAATGTTTGTTTTGGCAGTTCCACCCATCATCAAGAAAGGGGACCTTTTGGGCCCTGGCCTTTCCCCTAAAGAAGTGAAGATCAGGGTGAATAACAGCTTGACTTTGGAGTGTGAAGCTTATGCCATTCCTTCTGCCTCTCTCCGCTGGTACAAGGATGGACAGGCCAGTCACAACTACATTTTGTTTGTTGATTATTTCTGAAAGATTTAAATACCAATTTAGAAAGAAACAGGCAGGGGTGATTGAGAGATTGGCATCAACCACTGTAATATTAAAAGCTGTCATTCCCACGCTCCTCAAATCTGAAACTGCTTAAAAAATAAATAAAAATGAAAAATACCCATGTTCAGTAACTCCAGTATTGTTCCACTTACTTTGTGATAAGTAAGATTGGTTTTGTGTATATTAGCACTTGACTGTGAAGATCTGGCTACTCTCCCACTGGAGAATTAGAGGAACAGTGTTTTACCCAAATAAGTAAATTGTTATAGAGAAGAAACACATGCATGGTCCTAAATGAGGACTAAATTTATTCAGACCTTTCTCTAAACAACTTTAACTCTTTTACAAAAGATAACATTTTTGATATCCTAAAAATACAAGAAAATTAAAAGAAATAAAGGCACACTATGATTACCCTAGGGCAGCAAGAAATACTAAATAAAAATTCAGCTTGAAAGTGAAGGGACAGATATGGTAGGGGTTGGAGGTAAAAATAGTAATAGGAGAAGTAATACAATTGTATTTGAATTAAAATTGTTTTGAAAAATCACTCTTACATTAAAAACAAATCAGATCCTTCTGTTTATGATGTAAGTTTCAAACCACATTCACTATTCTTCACTCAATTCCTATTCTTTCTCACGTGCTATGAGCACACATGTGCTGATTGATGCTCGGAGGCCAAAAGAGAATTTGTAGTTGCTATTAACACTACTAAACACAGATGGGAAACAGCTAATCTGCTCTTTATCCTGTTTTACACATAATCAACCAAATGGTCAGTTAAATTCCAGTTGCAGAAGGTTAAGTCATAGTATGACTTAGAGGCAAGAAAGATGTGGCTTTGTGTTTTTCGTTCAGATTCCAGATGGATTCTGCTTTATCATCAGGTGGGGGGTGTCTTTTCATATAAAATAAGCATGCATCATCTGGAAGCCATTGCCAAAGGCAAATGCAGAATTCCCACCATGCTCTGCTTCTGTTGGCTTTTCAGAGTGCAAACACACCGTGTGCTGTGCTATCAATTCTGTAAAACCTTACTTTTCAAACAAATAAGTTCCCTGCCCTTTGAAATTCCATCATTAATTTGTTTTCTAATTTTCTATGAAGATTTTTCATCCCTCATGATACTAGACATAGAGGGTACCAAATGTAAAAACATCCTATTTAAACAGCAACTAAACTGCTTTCAAAATTATTTAAGAATTGTTAAATTATGGTTTCAAATTTGGTCTCTAAAATTATATTGACTGGCACTTGTAATTTTTTAAGGCTTAGGTTGGTTTCCTAAAATATGAATAAGAAGCACTATTTTCAATAAGTACTTTTTCCACATCATTTTCAGTTATTTCTACTTTAAATAACTAAAAATTAATAAAGTAGTATTTTTTAGAAAAACCACCAAAAGATATTGACAACATCAGCTATGATAACTTTACATATATTTCTTACATGCTATTTATCCATGCTCTGAAATTTTTATTTTGATACAGGACATTTAATTTGTGCAATATTAATAATGGTTTGTTGAATCCCAAATTATTTGAATTTCAATTGTTTGCTGGGTATTATGTACAGCAAATATAAATAAGAAAGAAATAGGTCAAAACCTCTGCCCACATAAATATTCAGAGACAAAAAACTAAAAGAATTAAGTCAGTAAAACAGAATGTGACAGATTAGGTAGAGGAGTTAATCAGAGAACACACACACAGCTCAGCTCACAGTTGCCTATAATTACAGCTCCAGCATATGACCTCTTCTAGCCTCTGTATGCACCTCCACTAATGTATGTGCACAAACACACACACACACACACACACACACACACACACTTACATGACAAGAGACACATGCAAAGTGTATGCCTGCCTTTGGGAGTAGAGGAATAAAGACTGTAGTGGCTCAAAAGACAAAATGGAGAGAGCTATTTCAAGATGAAGGCAAGTTACACTATGTCAAATACCACCAAGAAAAGAAAACAAAGACAACACTGAATGTAAATATAGCCACATGGATGTCAAGGGTGACCTTGACTGTCTTTCTTATCAAGTAGAGGAGACTAAGATTTGATTAGATCATAGACAAGGAAAGATAAGAAGACAAAATTAGACACCATACACAAGGAAAACATTTTAAGTGGTTGACTGTAAATGGCCTCAGAAAAAATGTGGAGGTAGACCCCAAAAACCGCTCCCATAACACTGAAACTGTCTAGTGGAATAAAATGAATAGATTTTGCTATAGGTAAGAAAGGACGCCAAGACACTGAGAGAACATAGTTTTGCTTGACAGTAGACACTGAAATCATTAAGAATTATGAAGGACATATTAAAAGGAATGCCAGTGAGTCAGAAATAAAATCTTCAAATAATGAAGGGAGACCTACAATGCTCATTTCAACAAAGTATCATAACATAGCCCCTAAGCAAGCCCTAACTTGTGTGTAAAAGTAAGGGTGTTTCTGAATGATTAACAATAATTTTAGATCAAATCAGATTGTACCAATGTTCTCAACTTCTAATAAAGTTTTCTTTATAATAGTTTTCTATGAAACTATCTGTAAACACAGTTTTTAAATGCTTCATAAGTTTAGCTGCTGACCCTTTTGCTTACACGGATAAATGGACATGGTGCTAAGAACATTTCTGTCATAAAGAATGTATGAATGTATCTCCTGAAATTGCCTAGTTAATGTGAAGCTTATCAGCTATAATTTTCAAGAGATAAAAATTGTATTACTTAAACAACAATTTGATCAAGTTAAATTAATTGCTGTTATCTTGAATATTTTACATATTTCTATTTATTAAAGACCCATAATGCCAATCATTTTCAGGGTATCTTAGCTTTATTAGCATACTCAATACTGACATTGTTATAATTGAATCACAGCCCCTTAAATCAGATGATCATGTTAACATCGCTGCAAATGGACACACTCTTCAAATAAAGGAAGCTCAAATATCGGACACTGGCCGATACACTTGTGTTGCATCTAACCTTGCCGGTGAAGATGAGTTGGATTTTGATGTGAATATCCAAGGTAATCCTACTATGCTTATTGTAGAATAATTTTCATCCTTTATTAATGTAATGGAAACAAGATTTGACTTTGTGTAAAATCTTTTCTTCTCATAATAATATAAATTCATTATGAAATTTTAAACACAAAATTATAGAAGAGAATGACCCCATGATCCTGTTTTAATTTTGCTTTTATTTAATGTATTTGAGTGTTTGCCTGTATGATATGTATGCCACCACATGTATGCCTGGTGCCCATGGTAGAGAGTGTTGGATCTCATAGAACTGAAATCATCAATGGTTGTGAGCCGCCACATCGATTCTGGGAACTGAACCTTAGACCTCTACGAGAACAAGTACTCTTAACCACTGTGCCATCTCTCCAGCCCCTATCATTCTTATTTTATTTATTCTTTTCTGATATTTTAAGGGATTATTTCATTTCCACAATTCAATAACAGACTATAGCCTTCTCTTATATTAGCATTGCCCTAACATTATTTCATGAAGACTATGTATCATACATCATTAGTGCATGAAATACAATGAATAATTATAATAAATACATGAACATTATTGTATGAAATGCAGTAATAATGGAATTTAGAATAGATACACTTTGAGTTGGATGAGTACACTTATAATCCTTGTGTCTTGGGCTAGTTACCACACTATTTTAAGTCTCCATCATTTCTCTTTAATGCCCCGTGGAATTGCTGAGAATAATGTATAAGGTAAGGCACCCACAGTGATTAAGAAGTAATACCTGTCATTGCTGGTATTGTTTTTCTGGAAGTTACCACTATCCAGCAGAATTATTTTTGTCAGTGCTGGGGATTGAATCTAGGACCTTGTTTATACTAAGTAAAGTCTCTCTGAGCCATACCCCAGACCTCAACATAACTTTTAAGAATTTTTCCTATTTCATCAGTTGTATAATGAAATATTAATATAACAGACTTCTACAGTTAAATATCCATATTGTCCCCAAGTTTTCATTACTTGCTAATAACACTATATGTGTCATCTGGATAAACAAAATTTTCAAACATCTTTAATTTTTCATACATGTCTAAAACTTGAAAATTCAGGTCAAACTCACACACTCTTGAAATGCTTTTAATGTATAGGCAATTTGTCTCTGATAAAGCTCACACTGCTATCAGAAAAGGGTGAGAATGTCCTAGTTTTGATAGTTTAGTCCTATTTCTTATTTAACTTCCTTAGTAAGGGAGATAGATAATTGACAACGGCATCAAATGAGTCCATATTTTCTTTTGTGTGTGCCTCAAAATCAGCTTTTCTCAAACAGTTACATTTCTTTTCTTCTCAAGTTTCATTTTACATTCCAAACTAAGTTCTCCCTCTGACCCCCTCACCCCCCCCCAGCCTCCGCATGTCCATTCCTCCTCAAGTTTCTTTTCACATTCCTCCTTGAAAGTGGGTCCTGATGTTGATCAAGTGACAGAGTCTTTTTAGAGGAACTGCTAAGACAAGTGCTGACTCTGAGCACTGTAGCGCTTATTCTTCCGCCTGAGAACCAACCCTGACTGATGGCTACTCTCTGTGTCTGGCTGCTGCTGTAAACACACAAGTGCCTAAAAATATTTTGGCATTGTCTAATTTATCAAATCCACATATCATTTGTCAAGATATGGTCAAAATCTTTTTCTGATATATTGATAGTGACAGTTCCACTGTAATGTCATGCTTTCCCTCCACAGTTCCTCCAAGTTTTCAGAAACTCTGGGAAATAGGAAACATGCTAGACACCGGCAGGAGCGGTGAAGCCAAAGATGTAATCATTAACAATCCCATTTCTCTGCACTGTGAGACAAATGCTGCTCCTCCCCCAACTCTGACGTGGTACAAAGATGGCCGTCCTCTGACTTCAAGTGACAGAGTATTGATTTTGCCAGGTAAACACTACCACTTGTGTCTCTTATCACTTACCAGGCCAGTTCACTGCAATTTAACTGGCATTTGAGTTGCTGAATGCTGTAACATCCACATATAGAAGAGTCTACCTTGAGTATTTGACAATAGAACATTTTAACTTGCCAGATCTGTTCCTTGATTGTTAACAATTTATGCAAGTCTTTGGGCTTCCTCATGCCTCCTTTTTGGTATTGATGCCTCCAGTCAGTTTGGTTTCTACACATCATTAATATAAATTCTAATGAACATTTGCAAATAGTTATTGTTCAATTTATTTATTGTATTGATTGCATTTTCATGAGTAATAGTGAAGACTTTTAGTTTCAAATACTTTAATTATTACATGGTTTGTTCACAGAAAGGGTGCTTAACTTTTAGGGAATAATATTTTTGAGGCTTTGGTAGACAGATATCAGGGTTTGTTAAAATTCAGAAATTGTACCTTTAGGGTCCATGTGGTCAATGTAGTGTATAATATATGCAAAGTTAACCCAAGTTAACTGAAAGAATATCTTTTGAAAATAAAAAAATGAAAATGGAAGAAATAGACATGGTAACTCTATGTAATATATGACCTTAATTGGATCTAGGTCTAGTAAAAATGGCTATTAAATAAATATTGTGACAATAATCTAAAAGAGGCTATGGATTTAGTACAAATTTTTCAAAACTCTAAATTTCCTGTTTTGGCTGTTACAGTTTCATAAGGGATTATAATTATTTCTATGAAATTGAGATCTGTAAGTATATAGTTTTAAGAAGTCATCAGGCCTTCAACCTACTGAAATAGCTTAGGAAAATATTCCACCCATATGATAAAGAGGTTAAAAATGGTAAAATAGATGAAAATTTTATTAGGACTGTTACAACTGTTCTCAATCTTATTAGCAACATTGAAAAGTTTATAGATACACAGATCTTTTCCCCCTGAGATTGTACAGGAAATCTTGAATAAAACATACAAGGCAAAGTACACCTTACTTTTTCAGATCCCTGGATTATATATGTCTTTGAATGCAATTTTGTAGGAAACACTGAAAGTGATAATTAAAAATACACAAAAGCTGCAAGAACAAAGTAACACTGCATAGTAACAGTCCATCTATCCAAAGCATGATGGAAGGTACAGAGTATTCCTCTCTTCTCCAAGAAAATTGATACCAGCTATTCATTTCTTCAAAAGTCTGACTTATATTACAGTATTGGCTCACTTTTTAGCCATGCAATATTTGCTGTGAAAATGGATATTATCTGAGATAAAACTGAATGATTAAAGGAAGTGGGAACATTGACAAAACAAATAAATAAATGTGTAAGTCATTATACCTGGGAGAAGAGTGTAACTCTATTCACGATCTGTGTTTGCTCTAACATTTGGAGAAGTAACATACTAGGATGTATTCTCAGGAGGGTGAGTGTTCCAGATTCCCCAGGCTAACATTCCAGGATGTGTTTTTAGGAGGGCGAGTGTTGCAGATTCCCCGGGCTAAAGTTGAAGATGCTGGGAGGTACACATGTGTGGCTGTGAATGAAGCTGGAGAAGATTCCCTTCAGTATGACGTCCGCGTACTCTGTAAGTTGGCTTTCTTTTGTTGATTAAGCGCTTTTCACTTGGAAATATTTTTCAGTGACTAATGTTTGCAAGATGTTACCCTAAGCACATTAGAAACTATAAAGGTAACCAGAAGCTAACACTTCTTCCTAGAACTTACTGTTTTGTGTGCAAACTGAGAATGTGTTAGTCCATCAGTCAGGACTTCTAAGATCTCAAATAACAAAATGAGACACGGGGTGGGAGGAAGGAAGGGAGAGGGAAGTAAAGAATGGATTATTAATTCATATACTTGTAAAGTCCCCAAGTAGAGTAATCTGCAATCAATCATTTCTGACTTCCTTGACTCAAAAGAGGTCCAGGGTATCCAGATTTTACCTTTCTATTACTCTGGACTTTTAAAAATTATTATTACTGTTAATGTCATTCTCAGACAGGTGGTTCCCTTGGGTAGCAAGGTGGAATTTACCAACTCTAGATTTACTTCTTCGGGGTTTCACATTGAAAGAAAGGTCTCCTGTCTAATATTTATTTATTTATTTTTGTGCAGATTTTTTATTTGAATTAGAAACAAGATTGTTTAACATGACAATCCCAGTTCCCTTCTCCCTCCCATCCTCCCCTACCACCCCCCCACAACTAAAACCCTACCTATCACTTATCCATTCTGCTCCCCCTGGATGGTGAGGCTTTCCATAGGGTGTCATCAGAGTCTATCGTATCCTTTGGAATACGGCCTAGGCCCTTCTGGGGGTTTCTTTGCTCAGGGAGTATTCCTCTATGTGGAATGGGTTCCCAAAGTCCACACCTATGCTAGGGATAAGTACTGAACTACTACCGGAGGTCCCATAGATTTCTGAGGCCTGTCTAATATTTATAAGTACAGTCCTAGGATTGACTGTTCCTCAGCCCTGTGTGAATTATACATGCATCTTTGAATTCACCACAGACACCAAGAATCTGTAGTATTCTTGTGATGAGATCTAATTCTTATGTCTGCTCTTAAGCCACAATCATTTCCTTCTGATATATGGCCATCAGGGGGAAGAGTATTGTTGCCTTAAGACAACCGGCATTATTAGAAGCAGAATAGATGTATTGGCAGAGGCTAAGCTAGTGAAGTGTGATATTCTGGTTTGCTGTCTATTGTTATGGTAAAAACCATGACCAAAAGCAATGTGGGGAGGAAAGGGTTCATTCAGTTTACATATCCCAACTCAAGGTCCATTGAGGAAAACTAAGGCAAGAGCTCAAGGCAGGAACCTGGAGGCAGGAACTGAAGCAGAAGCCTAGCAAGAATGCTGCTTACTGGATTGCTCCTCATGACTTGCTCAGCCTGCTTTTTTACACAACCCAGGACCACCTGCCTATGGGTGACACCTCCCACAGTAAACTGAGCTTTTCCACATCAATCACTAATCACGGAAATGTTCCCACAGACTTACCCACAGTCCAATCTGATGAATTCTCAAGTCCTCTGCTGAGGATCCATCCCCCTTCCCAGCTATGCCTCAGTTTGTGTGAAGTCAACAAAAACCAGCCAACTCACAGTCAAAATGAAAGATTTTTATACAAAAGTTTTGAAGTTTGGAGGGTTAGACACTCATCTCAGAGACTTTCATGCCAGGTGATTGAGTCAGTGATAACAAGGTTAATGAAAGTAGAGATACTGGGAAAACAGGTGGGATAGGGGTAAAATGCTGACTGGCCACTTAGAAATAGGAACCATTACAAAAAGAACTAAAGCCAGACTCCATTAGATCTCACAGCTGCCCACAGTCAAGTGATATATAAAGACAAGATTTCCAAAAGAAAGAATGATATACTTTTTGACCAAAGAGTATCATAGTGAAACATTTGTAGATAACAGTAGAAGAAAAGAACAAAAGAAAACAGTAGAAGCGGACAACCAAAGAATGGGGAAAACACAATAGACAGTCATGCCCAGATCCAGCTTTCAGAAAAAGTTGTCAACTAATGGGTTTTCAGTGCCGAATGTTATAATGAGTTTCAGAAAATAAAAGGCCTTTGATTTTGAATCTTCAAGCCTGTTGGTGAAGTTCAACGGAACAATTTAGGTCATGTGATGTGCTTCAATGCCACACTACAAGTATAAATTTTGAGCATTATTAGACATAATGAAATAAAATAGAGACAAGAGGTAGAATGGAGCTGGCTGGCAAGAACAAATTGAAAAGATTTGTACTTACCCATAGGTCAAGGGCAGGAAAACGGAATACAAAGAGGCTCATTAAAGCTTCAAGAATGTGTACGAATAGTAGAGGTGAAGGAATTAAGAGTGTAAGTGCCAAGAGCATGTATCAAAATAATGGAACAAGGAACTGAGAGGGCAAGAAGCCTTTGGGGGAGGAGGAGAAATATTGGAGTGTAAAGAAATGGGATATGACAAAATGTATATCAAGTATATTTAGCAATCCTATTAAGTAGGTGTATAAAACAAACAGCCTGTGTCAAACAGAAAAAATCAGCAGTGGCTACTTTGGGGATCAGATGATTATAGCAGGAAGCATTTGACTCAGTGATTGCTTTCAGTCATCACCCTCAGAACTCTGGAGGCAGAAAGAGGGAAGGAAGGAGAGAGATAGTGGTGTGAACTGTCTGGAAGTTGAAGCAGATGTCACAATAACACACTGTGGGGAGCAGTGAGCAACAAGCTCCAAGTATCAGCACCATAATGCATCACTTCAGTGGCCCCCCTGTGAGGTGTGGGCTGGCATGAAGAAAGAAAGTAACCTGAAGAGAGGTTAATGGGCTGATCATAAAGAGCATTAGAGGTGGGAGCACTAGAGCTTTCTATGCAAAGAGCAGGCAAAAGTCCACAACAGAGGTAGAATACAGAAAACATTAAATTTAAAAAACCCTATTTATTTGACATCTATCTGCCGATCACTCATTGTGTGATAGGTCCTGAGCTGGGCATTGGGAATCCAGCATAGAGGACAATGGCTATCATTAAAATGATGTAACTTTAAATGTGAATGTGTGCAGAACCGCATGAAGGTCCTGCCGTGTGCTTTTTCAGTTTCAGTGCTGATTCTTTCTTTAGAGAATTTCAACCTAACTGTTGGAGAGCCAAAACCCGAAGGCTGAGTCTGCATTAAACTTGCACTGGTTGTTGACAACCTGCTGTGTTTTAACAGACCTCAACAAAAATTAACCAAGCTTGACACTGATGGCTTACTTTGAAAATAAATATCTGGTTTTACAAATGTTGCCAACACAATTGCCTAATTTACTGAACCTTTCCAGATTCTATTCTACAGCGTGTGACTTTTCATAAGTGAAATGAGTATAAATTGCAGGGTGCTGTTGTAAATGTGTTGGGGAATATAGCATAGAGCTTATTAGACTTTAATGTGCTTGAGGAACATCTGGAGAGCTTTTTCAGCCGTCCATTCCTCATCCCTCCTCAGAGATGGCTATGAAGGAGGTGGGGGCGAGTTACATAAATATAAGTCTAACCAAGCTCCCAGGTGATGCTGATTCCTCTTCCACTGATGCTGGGGCGGGGAGCCTGGAATAGGCCAGATTACTCCCTTACAAAGACTGATTCTTAACAACCCAAATTCACTCCCAAAGCTGTGATTTATCCAGCTCGTCCTGATGACAAAGTGCTGTAGCATGCCTTACTAAAGCCACTGATGCCCATCTCTCTGTCACAACCGTTTCTTAGTGCCACCAGTTATCAAGGGAGCAAATGGTGATCTCCCAGAAGAGGTCACTGTGCTGGTGAACAAGAGTGCCCGGGTGGAATGTTCATCCAGCGGTAGCCCAGCACCGAAGAATTCCTGGCAGAAAGATGGACAGCCCTTGTTGGAAGATGAACATCACAAGTTTCTATCTGATGGCAGGATTCTTCAGGTAAAAGGAAAAATCTAATTTTAATACAGTGTTTTGACATTGTGATAGTTGTCCTCTAGATGGATAAAAGTATTAGTTTCTGAACTAATACTCTCCAGATGTTCCTCAAGCACATTAAAGTCTAATAAGCTCTATGCTATGTTTAAACTATCAAGGTTGATATTGATCATCAACGATCAAAAGCATACAAAATATTCTCTACTCTTTTCCCACAAATAGAAATGACCACATTGACATTTTTGTGTAAATTCTCCTAGAATATCTACACACACACACACACACACACACACACACACACACACAGCCACACACTCACACACCCCTAAGTTTAACAACATATTCTTTTATTTAAAAAACTATTATTTCAATCTTCCATTACATGCATGTGATGATAGCATTCTAAGTGGTAAAAGGCTTCCTATAGATTAGATCCATCCTGTGTTGGCACAGGCAATAGGAAGTCATTATGTGAGAACCATGTAAATATAGTGTACTGCTGTTTGTCACATGATATGTTCATTTGTCCATTCAAATGTCCTAAAAGAAAGTTGTGGTGTGTAGACACATAGTAATGCTTTTGTTAGGATAGAGTGTAATTAAATCACAAGTGAACATAATAAAAATATTCCCTTGGCTCATAAATCCAAGAATAAAAGTGGATCCAGCACAGGTCATGTGTCTTTTTAAAAAATCAAGCTTACTGCTTATAAATAAACTTGAAGTTTAAAGCATTATCTACATGTGACCATATCTATTTGATGACCATACAGCCTCTCCAAAATGCCTAAATGTTTTCATGTATAGGGTTGTAGATACACATAGAAGGATAGTAGTTTCTTCATAATAAACATTTTGTTCTATATTATTTGACTACCACTACAAAAAACAAACCCCTCCAAAACCTGATGACTTAGAACAATCAGAATGTATTTAGCTATTAGGTCCACTGGTTCTATAGGTGGTATATCAGATCTCAGCTGGGCTTATTCAAGTGTCAGCAGAGCCGTGGGTAGAACGCCTGCTGGAATTGTCTATCTGGAGTCATAGGATACAAGCTGATTTTTGTTCCTCATGATCACACCCTCCAGCAGGCAAGTCATACTTCCTCAGATGGTAGTGGCAGAATTTCTGATAAAGTGAGCAACAGTGTCGACACTTTTCAGTTAACTGAAGTGAACAGCAGCACCATTGCCTCAAAAATCCTACTGGCCAGAGGCAGTCACAAATCCACCTCATGGGGGAAGGGGGGACTTCAAAGTCACTTTGCAGACTCACAGACAGGGAAGTGGGAAATAATTTGGGATAATTTGTATTCAAAATTTAACAGATGTGTGTAAAAATCACCTTTTCTGATTGCAAGTTTTATAAATAAATATGTGCGTGGTTGACCTACCTAATTGAAAGCAGCACCAGGGATGGTCTGTTCTGCAGCTTCATGTTTTTATGCTCATTTATATCTGGCATTCGCTAGAAAGCATGCAACTTGTTTGTTCTATATGTAAAATATTACAAGCCCCTTTATTAACAATTTTAGCTGCCATTTCTTCATTTTCCCTTAGATTCTGAATGCTCAAATAACAGATATTGGGAGGTATGTGTGTGTTGCTGAGAACATAGCTGGGAGTGCCAAAAAATACTTCAACCTCAACATTCACGGTAAGAGCTCAATGCCCTGACATCTGCTAGGCTCTCCCTGACAAAGCAGGGAAACCAGGCTTGGAATGTAAGACCTGTGTTCTGTTTTCGACTTGATCATTGTGTGAAGCCTGCATTCATCCAATATCCTCTCCTTTTTCTCCTACAAAAGCCAGAGGGAATCACAGAGTGCAAATATTCTAAGCCCATCTTTATAGAATTTTCATCCCTGGGGGGTGGGAAGCTACCCCGGCATATATGAAGATTACATGTTCTTGTGAAGGTCAAGTCACTTGTGGATCTTCTGCTCATAGACGCATCTACTCGTGCTCCTGTCTTCCAGTGCATGGTTACCTTGACTACATTCATTTAGTATGCATTATGCTCTGTGAATAAGGAAAGGCTGCCTTGCAGAGTACAATAATTCCTTTTAAAAGGCAAGCATACCTAAATCGTGTTAAATTTAAGTTTTCACACATAATGACACTCCATAAACAGACTTTTTTACACTAAGAAAAAGTGTGAGGGAATTGGATGTCAATCATAAAAAGGCAATTTTTATGAGATCCAGCTGCTTCCAAAGTATGAAATTAGAGTGATGAAAATTATTCTAAGGCTCACTTTGTATGAAATTCTAGTTCATTTTAGGAATTTCTGAAAATGATCATTTTTTATCGTCTCTAAAAGCTTTCACTTGGGGCTGAAAGGATAGCTTGGTAATAAGGAGCATGAGCTGCTATGTAGAGGACCCGAACTCAGTTGTCAGCACCAACACTGGCTGGCTCACAACTGTCTGTATTTCCAACGTGCCAGCTGAACCTGATGCCTGTGGCCTTCGTGGACACCCACCCTCAAGTGGGCCCTCCACACACAAATACACATAATTAAAATTGTTTTCAAAAGTCTTCATTTGCCATGATAACATGTTCTTACTTGGTGTGATGTCTACAGCATGTTACACAAATGATGTTTGCTGTTTGTGTAATAAATCTTTGGAACACTCCTGCCTTTACATTCTTCACATTTACAACACTAAGCACTATATATACTTTTTTATATTTTAGTGAGCAACTCTCAGCTGTGCAAGTTCATGGTTTTTGCAGAGCTAGGGACCAAACCACAGACTTTGAGCATTCAAGGCAAGGGCTCCACTTGTGAGCCAGATCCTCAATCTTGTATCTGACCTAAACAGAAATAAGTGTGACATCTCAGGAATCATGAATTGAATACATATGATAGTTATGAAAGTACGAGTTCTAATCTATATAGTAAAATATAGGTTAAAAAACATGTCAAGGAACTGGGGAGACAGTTCATTCAGTAAACTCGATCCACGCGAGATCAAACTCCAACACCCACATAAACCTCCAGTTGTAGCAGTGTGTGTCAATAGTCCAAGCCCTGGAGAGGTAGAGACAGGATGCTGCCTGCAGTTAGTTGGCTAGCTGTCTTGCTGAACTGGTGAGTTCCTGGTCACTGAGAGATCACTGAGAAGCAAGAAGAAGAAATAAGAAGGGAAGGAGGGAGAAAAGGAGAGAGGTAGAGAGTGAGGAGATGGAGGGAAGGAAGGTAGGAAGGGAGGGACAGAGGGACGGAGGAACGGAGGGAGGGAGGGAGAAAGAAAAGAAGGAAGGAAGTAAAGGAGGGAAGAAGGGAGAAAGATCGCTTTATTTTACCTCACATACAGGTTAATTTTCATAGAACAGCATTGCACTATCTCCTTTAGCCTGTGGCCACTCATCATTTTGCTGTTAAAGTCCCATTATCTAGATAGTAAGTAGCAACATACTAACTGCTGGATTGCTACCACGTACTAAGTCAAGTGGTTTTTGCCCATTACCTCTAGTAATTATATCAATGACTCTCAGTCATTTGTTGGCTTTTGATTCCTCTCTCATAGATGAAAATGTAAGGACCACCAAGCTTAAGAAACATGATCCAAATTACATCATTCCCAAATGCAAAGTCAGCATTCTACACAGGCAGTTTGATTCAAGACCAGGAATAATTGGTTGCTTTCTATTTGGGGACATTCTTTTGTGTGTGTTATATGCCAAATTTTACAACTGCACTGTATCTACACCAAGGTCACTGCCCATGGCTTGAGGAAACCTTGGCGTCAGGAATATTGGTGGAGTTATAAATTCATACTCCCACCTTGAACCAGGCCTTCTCCACTGTGTAGGCCACCTCTTCTTGTCTTATTACCCTATGGACACTCTCTCTTACCTTTACCTTCCCCTCAAATGTCAAGTGAGTCCTTCCTTAGTCTGCTCTGTGTGGCTTTAACCACAGACATTCATTTTTCTTACAGTACTGAGAGCAAGGAAGTCTAAGAAGAGGTTCTAGAAGTGTTTGTTTTCTGAAGAGGTCCCTTGTAGATTGCAGCTTTGTCCTTGCATGCCCTCACTTAGTCTTTCTGGTGAACATGCTTGTATGGAGAGTTTGTATGCAAGCCCTCCAGTGTCTCTTTATTTTATGCACTATTTTATTTAATTAACATATAATTACATCATTCCTCCTTTTCTCCTTTCTGATTAACCTCCCATTCCCCTCCATTCACACCCAAATTCATGCCCTCAACTCCTTTAAACATTGTTATTACATATCCACATTCATTTAAATGAATAAATATATAAAACAGCCTTTGGGGTTCATTTGGTGTTGCCTGCATGTAGGTGTTCCTAGGACTGACTACTTTATAGTGGATAACTAGTGTGGGATTCATCCCTGGGAAAAACTAATTCTCCCTTTCTCAGAAGTTCTTAATTGCTTTTAGCTCTTCGTTTAAGTGTGGGGTTCCATGAGATTTCCCCCATATGTAAAGATGTCAACTATTGTTAGAATTATTCACAACTTGTTAGGTAACCATGTGGTTGATATTTCATGACAGTAGCTTTTCTGTTAGAAGGCACAATCCCACAGTATTCTGGACCCTCTGACTCTTAAAGCCTTTCTGCCCCCCTTTACATGTTCTCTGAGCCTTAGATGCAGGGGTTGTGTTGCAGATGTATCAATGGGATCAGCAATCGTAGAGTGTAGCACAAAAATAAAGACCCAGAGACTGATATTAGTATTCAAGCTTCAAGCTGATGATCAGAAAAGCAAAGCAGCCAGCCACTAGCTCTTACCTCTAGCTTAGCTCAGACCAAAGAGGCAATCCTCAAACTGCTCCGACTTCACTGCTCCTCAGATTCACTCAGACTGCTCTCCTCAATGTGTCTAGAAACCAATTGTTTCACATGAGACCCTTTGCTTTTTATACCTGCCTAGTGCTAGGATAGAAGGCTTGTGATCCCAAGTGCTGAGATCATCTTTGTGTGAACTGTTTCTCTTTAGGAATGGATTGAGTTGTGTAGCTCAGTGTGGCCTTGGACTAACAGAGATCTGTCTACCTCTGCCTCCCAAGTGGTGGGATTAAAGGTGTGTACCACCACCTGCTAGCTTCTATAGCTAACTGGTGTTGCTGGCTTTGCTTTCCGTACCCTCAGGCAATCTTTAATAAATCATAAATAATATATCACCACACTACAGTCAATTCTTCTCTGCATTTGAGAAATTCTGGCTTTCTACAGGGGTCTCCCACTGCAAAAAGGAGCTTCCCTGATGAGAGTAATATAGGGTGTCTTTTCTAAAAGGACAGTAATCCTAAGTAATTAGGGTTCATTGGACATTAATAACTTCCTTGTAGAATCCAGTTCCAAATACAGCTTCCCTGGGAATTGGAGCTTGAACTTCTGAATCTAGAGGATACAGTTGATTCTCACTCATTTCTCCCAACTGTCATTCATGACACTTTTAATTCCTAGGCAGGATAGAGAATTGGCTAAGCAAAAGATACTGAGAGCCTGGGTGCTTTGTTTTCAGACATATTTCTTCCAGGAACAAGATGAGAAACCTTAGGCAAGATGCTAATTTTCCTGTGCCTCAGCTTACCTCTTTATGATGTTAAGAAATGTCTCTAGCTCATAGGCATGTGAAAATTCAACGGAAAGTAAGTAAGTGTGCCGCACAGTGCCTGGCATGGATCTATCGACCATGACTACTGTAGCTCTATTCCTATCAGATTTTTAATTGCACGGATTATATTTAATTTTTCTCCTTGTGCCAAGAACAATGTCTGCAATGCATTCAGAATTCAACTAATACCAGAGTTAATCAATGACTGAAGCAATCAAAACTATATAATATTTAAAGAAAAAAAGGGTTTGCCTTTTCAACATTTTTCTTTTGCTTTTGATGTTGTTGTAAGACCTCAATCCTAATATAATAGAGTAGATACAATGTTGTTTATTACTTTCGTTCACCCTTTCTGATCAGGACTCATTTCGACTTTTATTTATGGTTGTAGTCACTTGTGTTCATACCTAATCCGTACTCATTGTCCTCCTTCCACTTCATAGAAACCCTTTTGATGTGTATGATGCTATTCCTTCTTTGGGATTTGGTGTTGCTGATGTTATCATTTTCATTTTTTGAGACAGGGTCTCACTATGTAGCCCTGGATGTACTGAAGTTCACTATGTAGACCTGACTGGCCACAGATTCACAGAGATCCACCTAATTCTGCCTCCTCAGTGCTGGGATTAAAGGCATAGACCACCACATCTGACAACATTTGCATTTTTATTATAAAATATCAAGTTTCACATTGCATATTTTATAATGTTCATAATTGCCAGAGTATCATTTATATCAATCTCTCTTATTCTGCATTTTCTCTCTCCTACTTTTGCTTTTTTTCTCTCTGTTGTTTTGAACAAAAAAAAACAGTAGTGTTGTCTATTAATATTTGTGTTCCTCTTGAAAGTTGCATAGATTTACACTTTAAAGATAATCTCTATTATATACTGAAATTCTAATGCTAAACCTTTTTTTACCATACTAAGTAAAAATAAAAATACCATATAAAAATAAAATTATCTGAACTACTTAAAAACATTAGGTTGTTTCTTTGTAATTTGAAAACCACAGTTTTGGACATGTACTGAATTTTTTCACTTTGAAAACTGAGACACTCTTTCAATTAGGAAAACACCTGATGGACATGTGTTTAATGAAGTCACTAGCGATTTCAATAAAGACCACTTTTTACTTAACAAAATCATTTGCTTGTTACTTTTACAGACCACAAGGAATTTGAACATGTGTCTCTCATATTGTCGAAGTTCACATTTAATATACATATGTGCACTTTTACAGTTCCTCCAAGTGTCATTGGTCCTACTCATGAACACCTCTCTGTGGTGGTGAACCACTTCATCTCTTTGACCTGTGAGGTTTCTGGTTTCCCCCCTCCTGACCTCAGCTGGCTCAAGAATGAACAGCCCATCAAGCCCAACACAAATGTTCTCATTGTGCCGGGTAAGGAACTAATTATTCTCATAAGGTAGGCCGCACGTCATTTTCTCCCATTTTAAAACAAAGATCATTTCAACTGAGACTCTTTCCAAAGTTGAGTGTCACTCCCTTTGTTAGTTCACAGTACCCAACTAGAGTATAGACTTTCACAACTTCAGTGGAAATTACGTAAATGGGTCTTTTTTTTGACAAATTATGAAATTAAGGATCAGAAAAATTGGGTGATTGTGAGAGTAAATGGTAAATAGCCACTGTATGATCCTATTAGTTCTAGGTGATGGGTAGTTCACTACATAGCTAGATGATACAGATAGGATAGAGAGTGAGGGCCAGGAGATGGCTCTGAGGTTAAAGGTGCTTGCTGTCAAGACTGACCACCTGAGTCCAATCTCTGGGACCCACATGGTGGAAAAAGGGAAACTGTTCCCATGAGCTGCCCTCTGACTTCTGCATACTGTAGCATACCTCTTCCAAAAAGAAATGTGTAAATGAAAACCAATGTTTAAAAAGAATAGGCATCAAACAGTATATATACTTGAGTAAACAAATGGAATTCAGTTGTCAAGCTATTGCCTTATGCCCCTCATGCATGTCAAGACATCTATGAGTACAGTCCAACATTTGCAGATGACAACATCATGCAGCAATGTAAAAAAGCTGGCCTCACCTGAGATAGACAGAATGACAGACTGCAGAAGAGCAAACTGTCACCTCTGCACTGTGGGGAATTTAAAATCAGTAATCACTTGCTCAATTCCCTGGATGCACAAGGCAGAAGGAGAGAACCAAATCCTACAAGTTGACCTCTAGCATTCACACATACACTGTGGCAGCTGCACGTGTGCACAACACACACACACACACACACACACACAAACTAACAACTCAATTTCAAACAACCTCTATATCTGTCTTTACATTATATTTGCCCCAGGTGGTCGAACTCTCCAGATTATTCGGACCAAGGTATCTGATGGTGGTGAATACACCTGCATCGCTATCAACCAAGCTGGAGAAGGCAAGAAGAAAATCTCTCTAACAGTTCATGGTGTGTCTTCACTCTCTCCATAACACAATTTTATTGCATATTTTCTATCTAAGCATCTGGATTAAAAAAAAAAAAAACACTTGAATGTTCTGTTCTTGTCTCCCATTTCAGTGCCCCCAAGCATTAAAGATCATGGCAGCGAATCTCTTTCTGTAGTTAATGTCAGAGAGGGGACCTCAGTGTCATTGGAATGCGAGTCAAACGCTGTCCCTCCTCCAGTCATCACCTGGTCTAAGAATGGGCGGACGATAACAGATTCTACTCATGTGGAGATTTTGACTGGTGGACAAATGCTGCACATCAAGCGAGCTGAGGTGCATCTTTGATCCTTGTCTGAGTGTTGTGCCTCCTTGGTGGGATTGCGCAAAAGATAACGGGAAGAAGCCTACTCCCCTTACTGCAGTGAACAGTGCTGTTCCTGGGCAAGTGCATGGTCAATAGCATTGAGCTTATTTTCATTAAAAAAAAAAAAGAAACAGGAGTTCTGAAGGCGACTAGAAGTGGGGCAGTTGAGCATAAAGATGACTGATGATTTAATCTATTCCTGAACCTTGTGATTGGTCATCTATCACTTAATGGAGCACATACAATAGTATCTTTTTCTTTTAGGTGTCTGACACAGGCCAGTATGTATGTAGAGCTATAAATGTAGCAGGACGAGATGATAAAAATTTCCACCTCAATGTATATGGTGAGCATCTGCCTCTAATACAACTCTCTTTTCCCTAGACATGCAAATGAAAGAATGTGTCTTGAATTAACTTAACGATGGTGTGCGTTCTTCTTCTGTCTTTTTACAGTGCCTCCCACTATTGAAGGGCCTGAAAGAGAAGTCATTGTGGAGACAGTCAGCAATCCAGTGACACTGACCTGTGATGCCACTGGGATCCCCCCTCCCACCATAACATGGTTAAAGAACCACAAGCCTATAGGTAATACACTTGAGCATTTTGGAGTTTGTCTTTTTTGCCTTTGATTTTCTACTTTTGTAAATGAACATATTTTTTTCAGTCTTGTGCTTATGGTTGTGGTTAGCTCAAGAAAGCCTAATATTCTAGAATCTAAATCTATCAAGTGGACCTCTGACTAAATATTTGCTCTGTTAAGGTACTGCCCATTGAAGCTAAGGCCTTGGTCATGTAAGGCAAGTCCTCTACCACTGTAGTTTACCCCAGGATTTCCAAGAGTTTTGTGGTTTTGTTGTTGTTGTTGTTGTTTGTTTGTTTTGAGGCTGGCTCTGGCTAAGTAACCCAGGCTGGCCTTGAACTTTCAATACTCTTCACTGTGTCTCTCACCTAGCTGGGATTGTAGACCTGAATGTCTCATTATAATGGAATACTTTTTAAATTTTTTCATGTTTCAAAATAATTCTCATGAAAAATACAAAGGGAAAGCTTTCAAGAAATGTATACTTGTTGGATGAAGAGAGTGGCTTTACATGTTATTTCTTTCCTCCTGATTTCTACCTGTAGAAAATTCTGACTCCCTTGAGGTTCACATTTTGTCTGGGGGAACCAAACTGCAAATTGCCAGACCTCAGCGTTCCGACAGTGGAAACTACACCTGTGTGGCATCCAATATGGAGGGAAAGGCTCAGAAAAACTATATCCTTTTCCTTCAGGGTAGGTTGACTGCACTGTGGTTTGTCCTTCTTTCTTTGTCATATTCTATCTAGAGTACAAAATGGTTTCTATTAAAGGAGACTATTGATCATAGACTCTGGTATCTATAGGTCACTGAAAATATTGACACCTTTTTGCCTGAATTTACTAGTGGATTCTATTTTCATGAGAAAACACACAGATATGGGGAGAACATAACAGAATTTAGGAAATCTATCTCTATTTGTTTCATTTTTAGTTAAAGTATCTTATTAGTCTGATACATTCTATGGAAATGTAATTCTCTATTTTGTGTAATTTATTTTCATACAAAGACTATAAATCTGTTCTTATTTTTATAGATATGTAAGATTTAATTTATACGGTTGTGCCATGGCTTAATTGTGGATGTGAGAATAGGTAACTTTCAAATAATCATGAGTCTTGCACAATTTTGTACTGAGAGTAAGGGACATTAATTCACCCAGTAAATATTTATTCATCATCCCCTTGCATTGTGGCATAGTGGTGAGGACTGTAGGGAGAACTTGTTATTTTTTGATTTTCAGTAAACCTCTTGGTGATACATTTGATTCAAAATGACATGGAAGTCTTGCTTCCTGATTTCATTGCTATTGCTAAGGAATTTCTAATGAATTATACCCTTGATCTTAATATATCTTCTGTTGTTGTGTTAAAGCTAACTCCTGAAAATATAGACAAAGACGTTTGATTGATGATCTCTTCAGTAACCTCTGGTGCTTTGAGACTCCATAGACATAAAGAAGAAAGTAGCTATTCAGTGATACAATATCTTATTGGGGCTGGCAGGATGTCTAAGTGGATAAAGGCCTTGGCCATCAAGTTCGAGGACCTGAGTTAGAGTCCATGGACCCACACAGTGGAAAGAAGGAAGAAACTTCCACAAGTTGTCCTCTGACTTCCATACATGCACTGTGGCACACATGTATTCGTATACATATAAACACATACACAAAATAAATACAATGTAATTTAAAATTAAAGAAAAGTAAATAAATTCCATGCTTACTTATTCATATACATCAGTAATAAATCATAAAGTTTATGGTGTTGTGATGTGACCAAACATTTCCTAAAATTTATTTTTAATGTATTTACATAATGTCTTACAATTAGGGAAAATGCATAACATGGGCCTTAATTAAGACAAATCTCATTAGTATATCTAGTGACAACTTCTTTAGTACCCTATCCCTGGTTGACTAAAATGGCATTAAGAAGGACGAAACAGTACTGTGTTAGTAAATGTTTAATAGTTGACACTTCAAACAAAAAGATCCTGATATGTAGCCATGATGTTTCAGTTTCCTGTTTTATGTATGCCCACCTTGGCCTATTTCCAGCTCTCACAATGGCAGTGAATATGGGGTAGGGAAGTCATGCCAAATAGGTTCCTGTGATCAAATATGAGCTACTCCTAGTATATCTCTAATTCTATAGTATAGAAACTCAATTGTGTTCCTTTGTGGCCTCTAAAAAAAATTGTACTTATGGTGTATAGTTGTTTTATCTAAGTGTATGCCTGCACCACATGCATGCCTGGTATCCAGAGCTCAGAAGACATCAAATCCGTGGAACTGGAGTTACAGATGGTTGTGAGCAACCATGTGGATGCTGGGAGTCAAACTGGTTTTCTGATTATTGTTAATATCTCTAGTTCACACAAAGGATGACTAGATAAAAAAAAGAACAGAAGCTATTAGAGATTGAAAAGCATAATATGTCCATCAATATTTCAGAATAAATAAATTAATTAGACAGTAGACAAATTAATTAGACAGTAGACAAAAAATTAGTATAAACCTTTCCTCAGACCTTTAAGGAAATATTTGGAAAGTTGATTGTCCTGAACTATATAATGACAAACAATCCATTTGAGACTTAATCTGAGGATGGTTCCATTGGATTACCCAAAACATCAATCTGTCACCAGTTCCTATGACTAAACAGCTCCAGGAATATCAGGAACATTGAAGTCATTTGGTGCCTTTTTCTTTCTCATTTAAAAATAATTCATGAAGGTAACCATAGGCCAAGTACTAGTCAGGAAGAGTTCTGATTTAGAAATGGCATATTCTGGGCCAGTGAAGTAGATAAGCAGGTACAGATGCTTGCCAACAAACTTAATAACCTGAGTTCAATCCCTGAGACCCACATTGTATAAGGAGATATTCAGTTTTCTGAATTCATGAACACACTAGAGGACAACTTATGTGCATTTACACACACACACACACACACACACACACACACACACACACACACACACACACGTGTTACAATGACCAAAAAAGAAATGATATGTTATGTTATTCTGTCACATTAATTAGCATTTACATCTTTATACTTTGCTAATGAAAATCTTATTTCTCTAAAGTCCCCCCAACCATTGCTAGTGCTGAAGTTCCGAGTGAAGTCAGTGTCATTCTTGGGGAAAATGTTGAGCTGGTCTGCAATGCAGATGGCATTCCCACCCCACATCTTCAGTGGCTTAGAGATGGGAAACCCATACTGAATGGTGAAACAGAAAGAGTCAGGTATGTTTAAAAGCAAACCTTTGCATGATAAATTATATGGTCTTTCACAGTGCTCTATGCTTCAGATTTCACACAAATGATGCCTATTTATATTCTAGTTTGCTTTCTATTGATACAATAAACACCATGACCAAAAATAACTTTGAGAGGAAAGAGTTCATTTCATTTCACAATTTATAGTCCATCATGAAATGAAGTCTAGTTAGGACATCAAGGCCAGAAGCTGGGAGTGGGTACTGAAACAGAAACCGTGGAGGAATGCTGCTTACCAACCAACTTGCTCCTCATGGCTTGCTCAACCTGCTTTCTTATGCCACCCAGAGATGTCACTGCTAACAGTGAACTGGACCTCACACATCAATCATTAATCAAGGAAATGCCCCCACAGAAATGTCCACAGGAAAATCTGATGGAGGCAATTGCTCAGTTAAGGTTCCCACTTCCCAGATATGTCTAGGCTTGTGTGAAGCTGACAGAAACAACCAGCACAACTCCCATGTCATTAGACCTTAGCCTTCATTATATTTACAAAGAGAAAAGACAACAATTTTTTGAGTGTTGAATATAGAATTTCTTTATAACACTCTAAAGTTTATTATTACCTGTATATATGTGTGATGTCAGTGTGTAGGGGTGGGGTGAGGGAATAAAAAGGAGGGAGGGGTCCTTAACATCAATTCTGTATTATCAATCTCACACACCCATTCATCAAAATGCTATGCAACTGTCATTGAATATATTTCTACAGTTTAAGAAAGTCCATGTCATAAAATAATTCTTTCCTATTAAAGTCAAGCCAGTGGCATCCCACAGAAGAGTCATCAATATTCATGGCTGTGAGTTTTTTATCTTAAAGTTATCAAACTGCATACATGCAAGGTTGATTCTATAGTTATGGGAAAACATAGAATAGCATTATAACCCAATTCATTTTTATAATGGTTTGCTCACATCCTACTTTTAGCTGATACTTATTACCCTGTCTAAATAGGAATGACTGGCAATACAATGGGAGCTTCTTGAATCTTGAACAAATTCCTTCAGATGAGCAATCTAAATCTCATAAAGATCTTTCAACACAGACATATTTACAGTCATATACCAGAATGATTGTATGCATAGGTAGACATAATATTGTACTAATGTACTATTAAATGTATAATTTTAACCAGTATTTTAATAGTATATTTTCTAGTCAGTGGATTGAATACATATAGCTTAAATACAAATAAGCATCATTTCCTTTGTATTTGTTTTGTATTAAAATTTAGGTATTTGTTTCCTTTACAAGATTGGGTAAGCTGCTTGATAATATTTTTAGAAATATTGGGTATTTTATTACATTGTGTTAACATATGGAAATAATTAACAAGTGTTTAGTTATTTTCATTAAGTAAACATTGGCCATCTTTCAGATTTGATGGAACCTAGCCCCCTATATTTGTACCTGGGAAGCTGGGACTCTAAATTCCTAAAGTTGCTTCTTGTTGTCTCCCACTTGGCTGTTGACTTTATCACTGTCCCATGGTGCCACAGATGTCTAGGTAAAACAGTGTTTCAAGGTCACTTTTCCAAAGCCACCTTAATAACTTTGACTGTGGCAACCTGCAACTTTAATTTGCAATATATTTAATTAAACTCATTGAACTTTAAATTTCACATTTTGAGACAAGTACCAGACTCAGATAATGCATTTTCAAGATATGTCTCAAATGTGATACTTAATAGTACATTGCAGTAGAAATTCACAATCAAGGGTGCTGATGAAATCACTATTCTTAGAATAGTTGTAGGTAATATTTTAACCTTCTTCCTAAAGCATAAGAAGTTGTGTTTGGTAATTAATGGTATGTGGATAAAAATGAATAGTGTAATAGTCTTAACTTAAAAATATATATATATATATATATATATATATATATATATATTTTTGTTTATTTTTATGTGCTTGCTTACCTGTATGCACCACATGCATGCAGTGCCTGCAGAGGCCAGAAAGAGGTATTTGATCCCTGGAACTGGACTTACAGGTGGTTATGAGCCTCTCAGTATGGGTGCTAAGAACCAAACTCAGGTTCCTCGCTCTTAACCATGGAGACATACTTCTGTCCCCAAGGAAGTAATGTCTATGTTAAGGCCTTAAGGAGTCACCCATGCAAAAAGTGAGGAGCAGAGCATTACAGGAAGGGGAGGCAGGGTCAGAGGGAGACCCTGGATATTAGACTTGAGGGACCAAGAAGGAAGTGGCTGGACCTCAAGTCAGAAAGAGAGAAGGAGGGATGGAGGGAAAGAGGAGAAGAAAGGAGAAGAGAGGAGGGGGCGGGGTTAAGTTCTTCAAGAACGTGGTGAGGGCTTTTGTTCAGTGTCATTTAATCCCTGAAGTGTTTTAAACAGAGCAGTGGAGTGATTTAATTTATATTGTTAAAATGTCACTCAGCGGCTGCTGAAGTGCACAGTGTCCGGGAAAGCTGGGGGAAGAACAGCGAGGAGTCCCTTTGCACAGGGACCCCAGGGAGAGGTGAGGGTGAAGGCATATAGCTCAGTCTAGCAGAGGATGGAAAGAGCATGGATTTAAGAGAGTTTGGAGAATGAATGAGCATGCTTGCTTATGGACTAACTTGGGAAACTTGCTGGTATTATTTTCATACCATTATTATTATTAGTAGTAGTAGTAGTATAAAACAAGGACTAGGGAGATAGCTTAGTGGACAAATACTTGCCATGGAAACATGAGGACCAGAGTTCTGATCCTCAGCACCCATATGAAAACCTGGGCAGGTGTGGGCGGCCTACTGTAATCTCAGCACTCAGAAGGCAGAGACAGGTTCCCTGGGCTAGTGATCTGGAACCTGTGGAATCAGTGATCTCCATGTTCAGCAAGAGACTCTGCCTTAACAAACTGAGAAAGACACCTTATGTCAATCCCTGGCCTCCACATACACATGTGTGCATGTGCGCCTATACACACAAACACACACACACACACACACACACACACACACACAACACACACATACATCACAGACACACATACACACACACACACATATATACACATACACACACATATACACATACACACACACATATATATATACACATACACACACATACACACATACACACACACCAGTTAGTTCAAAGCTTTTCTCAACACAATGCAGACCTGGCCCATGTGTCTGTGCTCAGGGCACACTCTACAACCTTTCCCTGAACACAGACATTGGCCCCCAAGGCTTCTTCTATGAAGTCAGCCTTTCCCAAGCAGAGGCTGGACCTGCCTCCGAGACCTGTATGGGCACATGTCACAGGGGGCAGGACACAGACCTGAGGACCACTTCCGGGCCCTGTATAGAAGTCAAGGCCCTGAGAAGAGCAGAGACTGACTCCAGATCCCAGAACCCCCACTCAGTGAATGGTCAAGGCACAAATGTAGAACCACTCAATCCTACAGTGCACTTCCAAGAAACATTACCTAAGAGGCAATTTTTTCAACAAATAGCTGAGAATTCATTAATTTCACAAACCCAGCAAGTCTGTACTGTCTATTCATGGGCATCAGCTGCCTGGTATGTGTTGCCTGTGAAGCACTGACCAGCCTCTGGAGCTGGGGACATAAGAAGGACACAGCCCACACCCTCACAAAGCTGGGAGTTTGGAGAAGGGTAAGCAAGGGGCAGGATGGAGATTAAGACCATCACCAAGCCAAGGAGAGACAACCTAACAGGCAGGTATGGCTGCTCCAGCAAAACCAAAATAGTCCCCCAGTTCATGAGAGGAGGCTATCACAGGCTCACGGGCTCTGGATATGTAAACCAGGATGGCCTTGACCTCATAATTATTTTGCCTCTGCTTCCCAAGTGTCCAGGTGCGGGAATGCACCACTATGCCCAATTTATAGATACTTGATAAGTGCTTGAAAAGTAGTATTTCTTGGCTTCACTGCATTTTCCTCAGAAGCACCTTTAGCCCGAGTGTGTGCACCATGGTTGGGTCTTCGAGGTCAAAGTCAATGGCATCTCCATTTCACCGACTCTAAACTGGTCATGTGACTCTGTTTTGCTTCCATGTGGCCTCATATAATAAGGAATCCCTGAAGAAAGGGAACATGCTTTTGGCTGCCTTCATCTCTCTCCATTGGTGTTCTGCAGTGACTGAGCAGATAGTCGTTATGGGCTGGATTGCAAGTGATGGGCTTTCTGCACCCACAGGGCTTGCAAGCGGTGCTCAACCAACTCTCTACACCCATTTGGTATCCCCTGCACTCCAAACGCATGACTAACTTTAGGCTCTGTTGTGGAGCATTAGTTTAAGATGCTTTACATTCATTTATGATGTGGAATAATTGTTTAATGATGCAAAGATGTGTTGCATTCTTTTATGTTGCTTTTGTTTAACTCTGTGAAGCAGTGTTACTTTGCCTGTCTAAACACCTCATTGGTCTAGTAAACAGCTGAACGGCCAGTAGCAAGGCAGGGGAGAGGAATAGGCGGGGATGCCAGGCAGAGAGAATAAATAAGAGGGAAAATCTAGGCTCGGGGAGGACTGAGGAGAGAGAAAAAGAGGAGTGGAGGACACCAGGGGCCAGCCACACAGACAGCCAAGGAGTAAGAAGGAAAGAAAGATATATGGAATAAAGAAAGATTAAACACCCAGAAGCAAAATGTAGTTAAAGAGAATGGGATAATTTAAGTTAGAAAAGCTGGCTAGAAACAAGCCAAGCTAAGGCTGGGCATTCATAAGTAAGAATAAGTCTCTGTGTGTTTATTTGGGAGCTGGATGGTGGGCCCCCAAAAAGTAAAACAACAGCAACTACTACATGGCTCTACCTGGACACACACTTTGCCATAAACTCATGGTGTCCAGAACAGATATCTAGATCCCCACCACTGTCACCATACAACCTGGTCCTCCTCCATCTACCTCACCACTGTAGTCTGGAGGGCCCATAGCCTAGGAGGCATCCCTGGTCCCTCTCTTTCCCCTACCCACCCTCATCCAATCAGCCAC